AGAAGATGGAGCTTTAAGAATCAGGTGACTGCTTCAATGCTAGCGTGGCATGCTGGGTAGAAAGCCAGGTGGTAAACTTTTAGCTTTCATAAGGTCATGATCATGCTTTTGAAGAAAACAGCTGTACACTATAATGGAAATAAGCCTTGTTGAATGCTGATTTGATTGATGACTCCTCAATGTAAGACTGCAAATGACCAGCAGAGGGAGCTGATGCGAGTTTCCTGTCAGAATTGTTGGCGGCACATTGTTGTAAAGAAAGAGCTACACATCTGCACAGAAACTGCACATTGCTGAACTTGATAGAAGTCTTTATGCAGGAACACAGTTTACACCTTTTGTCCCTCTCTGAATTCATGGACACGACCTGTGTTCTTGTTTTGCAGTGAATGTTTTCACTTTTTTCAGTTGGCATCAGCATTATGAGCCAATTAAATGAATTACTATATATATATATATATATATATATATATATATATATATATATATATATATACCATTTTAGGTCTTTAACTGTCAGTCCTGTATCAAGTCCAAGCCAGAGCACAACCATCATGGACTAAGGACTGTAAGTCGTATAAACGCTGTGTCTGAAATGGATCCCTAACCCCTATATAGGCGACTATATGGGGGTTAGCGCCATTTTGAGGGGTGTCCGAAACCTGAGTGATCAATTCCAATACCCCATATAGGCGACTCAAAATTTCCCATAAAGCATTGCAAAATGTAGTGAACATCCGATGGTCATCCACCGATGGTTGGCATCCCGTCATGCATTGCGTCTCCAGCAGAAGACGAAGAAGAGACAGAACCCGAGCTCTATTTGCCATTTTCAGCTAAAGTTTTTTATCTTCACTTCACTTGCAAGTGATCCGTATATTTTGCGAAAAACAATTGTTTGCTGTGTCATATAGTCTCATGCACACTATGACGCGGCAAACAATATTCGGCATGAAAATATAAATGCCTTTTAAATCAATTATTAATTTATTGGTATTTTTTTATTTTTTTATTTCCTGAATATCATGGAAAAATAAATACATCTATACAACATCATACAATACAAAAGATGTGAAAACAACAGCCGCAACTTTAGACGCGGCAGTCTGAGCAGTGATGTCACAACGGTAGTGTCCGAAACCTCCGGTGATTGAGCTCACTACATAGTCAGCTATACAGTGAAACCCCATATGGGGGTTAGGGGTTAGGGATTGAGTGATTCATTGAGACACAGCCGTTGTCTGGTTAAATTGGCATGTGACCACCTGACGACAATCCCTGGCACGGGTGTGAGGATGTTTACCTGCAAGCAACCTGCAAGCAACACTGAAGGCTGGTCTTTGAGGTGTTTCTACCTTCACACTTGGTCAGAATTTAAAATTGTGTTTAGTCCATTTGGAGCTTTTTTTGGTAAAGCTTTTCTCAAAAATCAAAAAAGCTGAATATCTTTCTGTGTGGCACTAACTGGCCATCCTGGAAGTCTATGGTCATGCTTTTACAGTGAGTTAAATTTGAGTTTTATTTCATTTATGTTTTATCTAAAGAAACAGTTAAATTGCAACAGTTAGAGTTCATGTTGCACTAATTTATCGTCTTTCCCTGAGGAGACCACAGCTGAAGGTGGCGATGAAAGAAAGATTCTTACCACAGAGATAGACCATGTAGATCTGCTTTAACTGGGTCCTTAAATAGATAGATTGAGAAAATTGACATACCTGCTAATTACACAGTCAGACATTAGACCCAATAATCAAAAAGCTCACTATAGTCTGATAATTAGCTGCTCCTGACACTGATGTATAATGTAAAGGTAATAAATGCCCACAGATTAAATCGAACAAAAGCACATAAATTAACTTTAATGAATTAATTTCCTTTTTTCCTTTACCGTTAATCTCCCAGCAGAATTACATTACACAGGTCCATCAGATGGGAGGAATTATTGCAGAAGGGTCAAACGTTATCCAGACGAGTAATTCTGATATTAAATCCAGACCGCTTCTTTCAGGTGATAATGAGTTGGACTGAAGAGAGCGATTCATTTTACTGAGAGCCTTTGAGATATGTGAGTAAATGGTGACTATTAATCACCTGACAGTGGAGACAGTGATCAGGCGGTAATTTTAATGGAAATATTGATTAACTGTAATTAGAGTCACCGTTTGTGGACTGTTATAGTTTAAAAAAAAAAAAAAAAAACAAGAATATGAATAAAACTGGAACTGTGGTGCAAACACTGTTTCTAATTTATCAGATGAGATTCAAATTTAAGATGTTATTGCTTTAACCTTTTAACGCTGTCAGATTGAGTTTAATTATTTAATGTTTTTACAGGAAATAGAATTAAAGCTTTCTCCAGAAGCTTCCTGTCTGTGAAATCTATCACCCAGAGAGTGTATTCAGTTTATACTAATTAAGCTTAGAGATGTTAATTAGAACGTGATTACAAACCTGGACCATTAATATCAACAAATGAGCTCTAATGACGTTTACATGCAGAAATACCTGAGAACTGTTTCAGAACCTCCTCTTCTGCACACATCATTTAACACACAACACTAATAGGAGGCTGTAAGGTAGTCATCAGCAGATATACATTAGATATATATCATGATATAACTCATAAAGACACGAGTAACTGATGCTGATAGAACAACAGGATAAAAATAAACCAAACAAGTATCGCTAAGAAATGAATGAGAAAGACTTTAAATATCTTCTTCAAAGTTTAACTTTGTCTGTTTTACAGGTGAGCATTAAATACTCCTCTGCTTTGCCTTTAACCCATCAGTAATATCTTAAAAACCTCACTTATCAAATCATATTTCATCATATTTCATATTAATTCATTCTCTATTAAAAGGCGCTGGACACAGGGATGATATTTAATATTGAGGTTAAAGACCCCTACCAGCAGCGGCTCTGTTAATGCCAATCAACAGGCGAAGAGGACCACTCTGTTGCTAGGAGACAGGGGAGGATATTTTCAATGGGTCCAGGGAGACCCTGATTGGACTGTCATCACTGGCTGCTTGTGTAACTGACCATGAGAGCAATTACTCCACATTTATCTTGAGATTAACAATTTCAAATCAAGAACATCTGAATGATTCGAACAGAAAAGCTTGTTTGTTTTTGTGCTGTTATCAATTAATCTTACTGAGGCTGAAACAAAAGAGACAGGCCTCCTTTGATGCCTTCACGTCTGCGATTCAAGAGGGAACATCTCTAAAAAACTTGCCCTCGTTGTTGAATCAGAAAGCAGCTTCATGATCAGACGATGACACTGGCTGTTTCTCGCTGGATTCTGGGTTTTTGTGCATCAGCAGCAGGAAGGCTTTTGTTTTGAAGAGGTGGCCTTTCAGGAAACATCTAATTGCTATTGGCTGCTCTATCCGCTCTGACATTTATGAAAACTTTATGGGCAGCAATCGCTCCGGATTGTGACATTTTGGATTCCCTCTAAAGCTGTGAATATGAAGGATTTTTTCACTTTACGGGCCACAGGACTCGAAATGAAAACGACAACAGCTCCCACACAGTTTCTCTTTGGTGCAGATGAAAGAGGGATGAGAGAAAAGAGAGTGACGGTGTTTTCATCCTGAAAAAGGTCATAAATATAATACATCCTGATAGAGGCAAAGGTTATTGTTTGGTTTGAAAGTGAAATCTTTTCACAGCTGGTTGAAGTCTGCAGGTAATTGAAATGATAAAATAGCAAACAGCAGTTCTGGCTCCATTGGCTTGTGTTTGATGTGGATGTGTGAAAAAGCTTCATTTCCTCTTAGCTGGCGTCATTTAGATCAGAATTTATTGGCGTCTAAAATCATTGACAGTAAACACCTCAACAAGAAAATCAAACATCTCTCACCAGCAGAGGATGAAAAGCCTCCAAACACCATCCCAGTGTTGGATTATGTGTTTTAAACAACACAGTCTCACTTTCATAACTGTAAAAAAATACATTTAAACATCCACACTTTGCTTCACACTGAGACCTCTGCTTTAGCCTAGCTTTAGCTTAGCTTCTGCAGAGTTCTGTAGTCAGATGGCTTTAATAATAACAACAACAACATGTGTTAATGTTGTTGATATATTTTATCATACTATACTATAGTATGAGATTTTTTATCATTCTTAAAATATGACATTTTTAAAATACTATACTATGAATTTTTATCAAACTATACTGTTACATTTTATCATACTATATTATACCGTGCCATTTTTTATCATCTATATTATGACATTTTTATTATATAATACTAAGACATTTTTTTCATACCATACTATGACATTCATTTATTTTACTATTCTATGACATTTTTAACATACTATACTATGAATTTTTTCAAATTAAAATTTGAATTTTTTATCAAAGTATACTGACATTTTGTATCTTTTTTTTTTACCAAGCCTTTTTTATCAAACAATACTATGACATTCATTTATTATACAATACTATGACATTTTTATCACACTATTCTATGACATTTTTTAACATACTATACTATGACTTTTTTTCAAACTAAAATTTGAATATTTTTATCATAGTATACCATGCCTTTTTTTTATTATTGTTTACCAAGCCTCATTTTTCCTTTTCATACTATACTATAACATTTGTATCATACTACATTAAATCTCTATTATACTTATGTATTATTTTATAACATACTATTCAATGTGATTTTTTATACTGTATTATGATCTTTTTTATCATACTCTACTTTGACATTTTTATCATACTTTACTATGACATTTTTTGACATACTATACTATGACATTTTTTATAATACTATGGGATGACATTTTTATCATACTCAACTTTGACATATTTTATCATACCATACTATGACATTTGCTATCATACTATTCGATGATATCTTCATCAAACTATACTTGATCTTTTTTATCATACCATACTATGTCATTTGTTATCATACTTTACCATGATATTTTTATCATACTATACGATAATACCTTTATCATACTATACTTTGACATTTTTTATACTACACCATGTCATTGTCAGTATTAGATTTGATGTTCTGACACTATTTTTAATAAATGGTAGAATTTAAATGGTCAAATTCTGTTTTTTAAATCCCCATTTTCTGCAGCATCACAGCGCTCATGGAATTTGGGTTTTAGATTCTGTTGATGTGGCTGAAGATTTGGGGCGTTGAAAGTATTCTGGTTTTTGTGGATGAGGATTTGGCTGAATATTTGCTGGTTGAACCGTAAGCCTGCATAGACTACAGAGACGTGGTCTTTGGGAATTTGAGTCTGACCAAATACATCTGTTAGATCTCATACTTAAAGGTTTGTATCATGCAAACAGGACTTTCTCAAGGCCCCAAATTGACAGTATGTCCCCCATGTGTGGGTTACTGTGGCTCCAGGGTCAACGGGTGCAAGTGGGTGTAAGAGAAAATGTTTCCAAACCTCGTCCACATGAAGATTTCCCATCACAACATCAACATCTCTTCATGTGTGTCGAAACTCTCTCTGCAGTGCCAGACACCCAGTCTAATTAGTTAAGATGGCGTGACAGTCATGGTGCATTAAATCTATGGGTTTGAGCCTGGACCAGCCCTGACATGGATCAAAAATAGAAACCAGAACATCTCCTGCTGAAACTGTGAGCAGACAAACACCGGTGAGAGCACATGCGGGTAAAACTGCTGTTAATCTAAAAGAAAACTAAACCACAGACTCTCCCTCTAGGTGAGATCGTTGATCAACTGATTTCAGGACACTGAAGTGCCATTCAAACTCGGTTGTTTTAGTTTTCATGCCTTTATGCAGTCTGTTTTTGTTCTGACAGCAGATCAGTTCTTAGGGGCGACTCTGCTGTGGGGCAGGTGGACTGCTCTCCCTGCAGTCACCCCGCTGTGCCTTCATTTGCATACTGGATCAGATTATCATTACATTATGTATTCCAAGGACAAGCCTAAGAGTGATGGATGATTGGTGCAGTCTCATAATCTTCACCAAGGTGCTTCGTCCAGCCTCGTATTTCTGCCTCCAAACAGAGCAGCAGTGATCGAAAGCCCTGCTGATCCAGGGTCAGACTCAAAGTCCACTCCTGTTTCTTTATATCATCCACCACTCTTAAATTTTTCTGAACAGTTTAGATTGTTGAATATGCTTGTTAATAAATACACATACTGGATATATGATCAGTATCTCAGAACAAAGACCAAAGTTTTCCTAATGTCGGATTACATAAAGCTGTGTGTTTGTGTTTGTTTTGGTAGTTAGCGCATGATGTAGATTTTACCACAAGTCAAATATTACATATTTATAAGACAGAAATTACTCAGAAAAAGAAAAACAGCAAGCATCAGCTAAAGAGGAAAGCACAGTCTTACTATTGGCTGTTTGGTTTACAGTATGAATATAAGGCTGTCAGGCTGTCAATTTTTTAACATACTATACTATGAATTTTTTAACAGACTATACTATGACTTTTTGACATACCATACTATGACTTTTTTTCAAATAAAAATTTAAAATTTCTTATTCTTAACTGACATTTTTTAACATACTACACTATGATCTTTTTTTCAAACTAAAATTTATTTATTTTTTATCACACTATACTATGACATTTTTAACATACTATACTATGACGTTTTTTTAAACTAAAATTTGAATTTTTTTTATCATATTATACTATACCATTTTTTAACAAACTTAATGACTTTTTTCCAAATCAAAATTTTCATTTTTTTAACAAACTATTCTATGACATTTTTTAAATGTAGTATACTATGACAATTTTTAACATACTATACCAAGACTTTTTTTTTCACACTAAAATTTGAAAATTTTTATCATACTATTCTATGGCCTTTTACCAACATACTAAACTATGACTTTTATCAGACTAGATTTTAAATTTTTAATCATACTATACTATAGATTTTTTAACATACTATACTATGACTTTTCTTCAAACTAAAATTTAAAATTTTTAATCATACTAAAACATTACATTTTTTAACATACTATACTATGACTTTTTTCAAACTAAAATTAGAATTTTTTTATCAAAGTATACTAACATTTTGTATCTTTTTTTTCCCAAGCCTTTTTTATCATACAATACTATGACATTTATTTATTATACAATACTATGACATTTTTATCATACTATACTTTGACATTTTTTAACTTACTATAATATGACTTTTTTCAAACTATACTTTGACATTTTTATTGTACTATACTATGATCTTTTTATTATACTATACTGACATTTTATCTTACTATACCATGATATAATTATCATACTATACTATTATTTTTCTAATCATTCTATACTATGACATTTTTATCATACTATACTGACATTTTTATCATTCTATACTATGACATTTTTATCATATGATACTATGACATTTTTATCATACTATACTGACATTTTTATCATACTATACTATGACCTTTTTATCATACGATACTATGACATTTTGTCATACTTTGCAATGAGATTTTTTTATTGTACTTTACTATGGTTTTTTTTAGCATACTATGAATTGAAAGCGAAGTCAAAAACTTGATAAATTTTGCTTAAGCCCATTAACAAGTGTACAGCTAGTTTACCCTTGTAGTTAGCTCAGATATAGCTAAGATCTACACCTAGCTTAGACCCATCTTAAAAACATTTGTTTGAGTTTAAGCTTCATATTTTGTTAAGATTTCGGGGGAAACCTGTGATGGTGAAATCGCAGACAGTGCTTCTAAATAAACACAGTTAAAATTTTAGATGACAGCTTAAAGATAAAAGCAGAAGCTTGAGAAAGATGACATTTTTAACTCTTTATGTATCACATACTCCAACATGCTGCCTTGCTCAACACTAATTCTGCTTACTTAACGGTCTGTCCTTCCCCTTCAGCCTGGACCACATTTCCATCATTTTATAGTCCTTTGTTTCCTCATCCAAACTTCCTTTTTATGAGGCGTTCTGTCCACACAGACTCCCTGACAAGAACACAGGATGTATGATAAGGAAAGCTTAAAATCCCCAAGATATCATTGCAGGAAGTCAAATGAGCTCTCAGTGAAATTATGACTTCCCCTCGAGGTCATTAATCTTCCAGTCGTCTGCCCGACGCTGTGCAACAGTTCACCCTCAGACCAAATTTAAAGTTGAAACATTTCGATAAACAATAGAGTCCACATCCTGCTGCTGGATTAAATCAGATAAAACGTTGGTAGAGATAGATATTTTTGAATTTTAGTTCATTTTAAATAGTTAATTTTTACATAGAGGTATTATAGTAAATGTTCCACTAAATATATCTTTAGTATATAACCTTGCAAAAGTGCACCAGTTAGGAGAGGAAGAGAGGAAGAAGAAAGTGAGTTGTTGAGAAGAAAACCAAATCATAAACCTTGAACCTTGTGGGACTCCGTAACAAACTCTTACACTGGGAGGAAAATTTTCATCTGTGCATTTGAGTTAAACTTTGTGGATGTGGTGCATATCTTCTTTTTGACCCTGTTAGCTTTCAGATAAGACAAATGAGACTTTCAGAGATGTTTTGAAACATGCTTGGATAAAATTACAAAAAAATAAATCAACAGAAACATTCGAAAAATGAACATTAACATCATTATTCTCATAAAGAGCTTAAATAACACAAAGATATTATTATCCTTTCAAAAAACAAATTTATTCAAAACAAATGTTGATTTATTAACAAGTTTATAAAACAGTGATTTAGTTACATAAATAAATCGATCAGTGTATCAAATCTTGGTTTCAACTTCATGAGCATGTTGACATGGTTTACAATCATTTACCTAACATAATAAATAAAAAGGAGCAAATTTCTAAAAAAAATTATAAAACAGGAACTACTAACAGACCTCGAATGAGGCAACAAGAGACAACACTGAAAACAGTTGAAATGAGCTTTAAAAGCACAGAATACAGAGCTGGTCCAGCTAGAAATTAAAGATACTACAAAATAAACAAAAAACAAAGTTGGTTGGTGTACAAAAAAAGTTTGGTAGTTAGAACTCCCATTTGGTTATTTTAAAGCATTAAGACAAGGCAAGAAAGAAGGCTGTTCTTGTGTGAGGAATTCTAAAGAGGAGTTAAAATAATTTGAATTCGAGACGAGGAAACATTTAAAAAGCTTAAAAAAAGGTGGAACAGTCGAGACACCTACAGTGTAGAGCAATTTTCTCCTCCTGCACTACGTGGAGACGTCTGAAGTGGAGGCAAGGACATTCACAACAGAGCTGTACTTTTAAACGGGTGGATTTTAATATTCAGGGCCCTTGATTAGATCAATCCTGAACCCACATTTTTCTATCGAGGATCAGGTAATCTAGCTTTCTTTTGTTCCTGGGTTTTTGGAGAAAAACTAGACTGGAGTAAATCTGGACTTTCCCCCCTGATTTCCACCACATCTAGAACGGCTACGAAAAGGCCGTGTCCGCCGATCGCAGCTGATTGTAACCATTCAAGTTAATGTGTCAGTTTCTACCGGCTTCTTTCCGTTCTGCTGCGGATCACCGGACTCCGCAGCTGATCGCAAGAGTTCTATTTTTTCTGGATGCCAGAGCTTGCCGGATATATTCAGCACAGATTAACCTGATCTGGAAAGGAAGTCGGGCACAGACACAAAATAAAACATCCGGCCTCTTTTCAAAATAAAACACTCCGTGTTTCAGGCATATTGTATTTCACATCATCCAAACAGGCGGAGACGAACAAGTGAAAGGTTTTCAGACAGCTTTTCACCCCAATGACTCCATGGATGAGGATTTCCTCCTCTGGAAGGACACAATCTACTGCTTATATGGTTAGCCTATGTGGCTAAAGACAACTTGTTATCGCGCGATTGCATGTGAATCTGCGGGTTCTTATGAGTTCTTGCGATTCCTGCTGTCCGTAATCCGGATCCAGTAGGAATTGTTGGATGGCGAAAATCCCAGCCGTTCTGGATGCGGTGGAAATCCTGGGTCAGTGTTCTAGATAGTACTACACACTTCTTACTTTGTCCACAGGGGGCGCCAGAACCACACAAAGTGAAAAACTGACAGTTTTTTTTTTTTTTTTAAATAGTTTTATGCAGATCAGTGTCTTCAATTTGGTGAAAATTTCGGGGACAAAATCCTTTTTCCCTTTTCAAAATTCTGTAGTCTTCCTCATAGTACAATTAAAAATTTAAAAAAATTGAGAGTGATAGTATCAGAATAATCCAGAATTTTTTGGATCACAGTTTCTGCCTGACTGGAAAATTTTATCAGCATAAATGCCAAAACTGGATCGAAACAAATGGTTTTTTTTGTTTGTTTTTTTCTATTGACCCGATTCCAACATGATTTGAAGAATATGTCCAATTCTCGAGCACCAAAACCTGGGCCCTGGAATATCACAGCAGTCACCAGCTGCTGCTCTGAATCCACCCTGATCTCTCTCTGCAGCAGCTCCTACAGTCCTCGGTACGCCTCTGTGTTCAGGAAAATGCCATTTTGCACCTCCACTTTCTGTCCTGGCCAGTCCCTGCAGGTCATCACATGCTCTGCAGAGCTACACCAGCCTACACGAGTCTTTGAACTGGCCCCTGATGCAATGCAAGGCGAACATTTTGAAGTCCTTCTGATATGTTTTTTTTTTCTTTTTGTCTAGTTTTCAAAAACCAAAAGTACTGCAGCTTCAAGTATTGTGCCTTACATAGAATATTCTGTCATAAATTAGTTAACATATACATTATTTTCAATATTCAGACATTTTATACTTTCATATATACAGGACAATAAAATGCTTTTGTTCACTCTTTTCTGTTCTTTTACGTCTGAGATCCCTGAGAATGAATGTTTTGCCAAGTTTCCACGAGAGCAAGCACTGCGACAGTTTGTTGTTTGTGTTTCTGTGACAAGTATGTCCATAAAATTAGCATACTGGAGGTTTGAGGCAACACTGCAAAGCCAAAACAATCAGCCTGAAAGTGGCGGGAAACAAATCCAGACCCGGTGAATGATTCTGATCTTTCACTTCACAAAGCAGATGGGTGAGGTTTCTCTTTTAGGGGGAGTAAAGCTGGATCCTTTTAAAGAGGTACTCGTCACTTCAGATGGAGTTGCTCCATTTGGTTTAAAGCCGTTTTTCTTCTCTTTGAGGCTGTGAACTTTAGCTGAGGGGGAGAAGGAGGAGTGCAAGGTAGACATTTTGCCACTGGACAATACAGTATATACTCAGTGTAAGAATCCCACACTTTCACTTTCATACATGTAAAGGGAAACAAACAAACTTTCAAGATTTGACATTTTCTCCTTCAGCGACAGGATGGTTTTATACACATCAACACCAGCTGTTATCTTTATGGTTTACAGTGTTTTTTTTTTTCTTCAATTTGAAACTTTTCAGAGAGGAAAATTACCCTAAAACACATTTCTCATTCCTGTTAACTTGGTCAGTCTGACAATGATTTATAAAGAACAGTTTCCACCAGTAAATTAAAAAAATCCAATGTGAATTCAAAGTCAGTGTCATAAAATCAAAAGTCATGGGAAAAAAAGTAAAAGTTTAAGAAAAAGCATCAAGTCTTTGCAGCTAAAATAATTTTGTAAAGCACAATTTTGACTGTAATCAATGGTTTGATATATTAACAACTTTTTCCCCAGAATTGCGACTTACATCAAAATTTAGACTTTTTGTAGCAATATCACAATTTTTAAATGTAGAACTTTGTCATTAAAACTTTTCCAAAGTTTCAACTTTTTTCAAAGATTTGATTTATTACTTCCACTTTTTTAATTAAAATTTTATGCTATTAGATCTCAATTTTAATGAATGTCTAATTATTGATTTTTTTTCTTATAATTACAATCTCTTTACTTAGCATTATTGACTTAAACTCCCCAAAACAACCTATGTTTTTAAGGGCGTCAGCTTATATATTTTTTTATATGAGAAATTATGACCAACTATTTAAAAATTTGGACTTTTCTTAACTTTTTAACTTTTCATCTCCACTGTTCTCAAATCTCAAATTTCCACTGTTCAATCTCAAGATATTGACTTTTTCTACAAAATTGTTGACTTTCATATCTCAAATTTTTGACTCCTTATCTTTTCGTTATGCTTTTTTATTTTTAAACTTTGATTTGCTATCTTAATATTCATCTCTTCTTCTTTACTGGTGGAAACAGGCTTGAATTATATTTTAAACTCTACATAAATGCAGAGGATCCCACTGAAAGAGTCAGATTTCTTTTCCATGACAGGCTCCAGAGAAAATTGCGTTCATTATCCCATTCGGCCTCTCAGAGCCAAATCCGAGGAATAAGCTTTGCATGAATGTTGCTTTAGGAGTATTTTCACTTCAAGTTAGAAAGGATAAAAAAAAGAGACTCAAGTAAAAAAAACGGGCGATTTGGTCATTTAATCCTCCATCAGCCAAATCTCTCTCGAACGAGCATCATGAGTTTCTTCTTGCCTTTATAAATCTGTTTTAGGTTGTCTATAAACTGTGTGAACTGGATGTGTCCATCGTGCGCCATGAGGAACGTCTCTCTGGCTTTACTGAGGAACTCAATGAACTCGCTGTAGTGGCGTGGGCTGATGTGTGTCAGCCGAGAGTGCGTCGTGTTAATGTAAGCCCCGATCGTGGCGTCCAGTAGCTGCCTGAGGGGAGCCTTGTCCAGAGGCATTAGCTTTCCAGAGTTCCTGCGGCTGTGCAGCGCAACCATGCCTGGCGTGGTTAACGTGCATCGACGTAAAATGTCGGATAAGACGGTGGCACATTTCACGCTTTTCACCACTAAGGGGATGACAGATGCTAGTTCGTTCTTTCCCAGCGAGTGGCTGAGAGCACACGCCCACAGCACGTCGTTGATGGCAGGGTGTGTGTCTTGGTTGTAGCTGAGGTTCAGGTGAGTCATTGCTAACGTCGCTAGTTTGTAAGCCCTCATGGGATAGCCGCGGTGCTCCATGTAGCGTGCAATTGTAAACAACTGTGTGTAGTTCATTCCTGTGGCGGCTGCGTCCAGTACAATCTGGTAGGCTGTCTCGAAGGCGATGTGGTCCTTCTCGCAGAGCGTCAGAGCCGACAGGGCACAGTTCTGGGGGTCCTTCATGGCACACTGCAGGGCCAGGGTTCGGGCGGAGTTGGCTAAGTTTTCTTGCTGATGGCAGTCCAGATGCAGGCGTACAATGGTGCTGTTGGACATGACGGTGCTGGCGACAACGCTGGTGGCCTCAGTGGGGGTGAAGAGGGTGAACCAGTTCTGCATGATGCTATCCAGCGCAAAAACACCTAGAAAAGAAAGAAAGAATAGAAATATTCGTCAAAGGTTTAGTGGGAAAATTCTCCACTTTTGGCGTTCCACAGGGTTTAATCTTAGATCCCTTTATTTTTACTGTGACTAGTTTTTCAGAGGCTATGAAAGAGATTCAAATTCATACAGATTCCTCTTTGTGAGCTAGAAACGTGAACAAGGCTATTAGCATCAAGGTTTTGTTATTCTACTTTTAATCTTTTATGCTTTTAAGCTCTGCAGTTAGAAACTGAACGTTATAAAGACAGTCTTTACAGTTTCCAAAGATTAATTTTGAGTTACGTGTTTAGCATTTGTTTTTTTTGTTTAAAAGACTATATAGACTATGTCAACACAGATGCTCCTAACAAGTACAAACCCAACAGTTCCTCAAAGGAGGTTTAACCCTTGAATGCCTTTAGTATCATATTTGATACAAACTTTTATATACTTCTATCAAATTAATATGATCAACAAATTGCTAAAAAAAAAACACCTGAATACAGTCCGATAAATGATAAAAATGTCCTCTTGTGGTTTATCAGTTTCCAAAAAAATCTAATGTATCAAACGAGATAAATTAATATATTTGTAAAATTTTAAGGACATTTTGATTTTTTTGGTTTTCTAGTAGTAAGTGAAATAAACATTTCAGCTCCCAAAAGATTTGAATTTTCTGGCCATAATTTGTGGTGTCGGGCAATAAAGGGCTATGAATTTTTTTCAACATGTAAAAATTTTGAACTGATTTCACATTTTAACAATAGTCCCCAACAAAGTGACTGTTCAACCAAGACACTTTACAAAACAGCGCATTTTTGCACTAGAAAACATCGACATAACTCTTGATGCAGCGCTTAAGTCATAGCAGCCCAAACTTTCTACTTAAAATTCTGAAACCTTCCCAGAATTCCATCATAAAAACATACGTCAGCGGCCTCACAATGGCTCCTTGCTGTCTAATTGGATACTCTATCTCTTATTCTCTGACATTACATGACCTGGCCCCACTCTACATCACTAACTGGCATGTTCTCAATGACTCCATTCAAGCCCCGCTCTCAGAAACAGGGTCTCCTTGTCACTCCTCTACATTCACAACAAATCATCAGGGTGGAGGGTTTCCCCCTATAGAGCTCCGTCTCCTCTGAACACAGCTTCCTGTCCACTTCAGGGAAGTCTGCCACTGGGTTTCAGTATTCACGTCCAAACATTAGACCCACTTAATCAGCCAATCTCCCGTAATTACTGCCCTGCCAGTCACTCCTCCCCCTGCTCTAGCCTTCCACTGAGGGCCCCAATAATCCACTCTCTAAACTTCCCATTTATGGATGCTGAAACATTTCAAACATTTGTTACTGATACTTTTTTCCATGGCTGTGGCGGCTTAAACTACGACTTTGCATAGAGGAAAGAACTGCCTGAAAATTGCTGAAAATTTTCACTCATGCATCCCTGTTTTCACTATGAGCATCAAACAAACTTACCAGCCTCTGTGGCACAAGTGACGAGCCATCGCACCATCTCTCTCCTTCGCCAGTTCAGCGTAGACAGCGTCATCCTCATCACCTGGAAAAAAACAACAACATTAACTCCTGATATTTCCACATGTTAAAGCTTTTCATCTGTGAGTGGAGTTGCTTATGTGGTTTGTACCTGAAGACCCAGCTCCAGGGAGACTTTGAGCAGCGTGATGTCTGGGAGGCTGTCCATTAGAGTGGCGATTTTGAAGGCGTCCTGGGCCAGCTTGAAGATGTGGGACGCAGAGTGGATGTTCTTCTGGATGGACTCTAACACTGTTTGAAGCTTAGAAGCATCACCTGGTGACACAACAAAACAGAAGAAGTATTAACCAATGTGTTTGACCCTGAAAATTGAATATTAATAGTTATCCTCATTCATTTTTATAAGGGTGGGAGAAAAAATCAGTACAGCATAGCATCACGATATTTTGTCTGGTGATATGTAGTACCGTCTCATTGACAAAGTATTGATTTTTTTCAAATTAATTGTCAATATGAAGTCAAATCTATGATAATGGAAAATAAAATCAACTGTTTGTCCAGTGAGGCTGGCAGAGGTGACATTATAGAGCAAGAGAATGTAAGTACAACAAATATATATATAAGATAGTGCTGCTCAATGTATCGTTTGAGCATCGTCATCGCAATGTACGTGTGCGCAATAGTCACATTGCAGAGCCTGCGATGTAGGAGGCGAGTGAACTCATCTAACTTCAAGGTAACTGACTGAGATGTGACTCTGCATGTGCTGAGCAGCGATCCACCAATCACATTTGTTCTTTACTTAGTTGCCAAGCAGACTACCCTGCCAGTCGTCAATCAAAATCAGAGAGAAGGAAATCACGCCCCTGCACATATCCTGCACGCCATATTTTTCTTTTGTAGGACTGTAGGGGAAAGTCCCGCCTCCTTCGCCTCTGATTGGCTAGAAAAGCTGGAAACGTCATCACATGCTCAAACCAAACGCGGGCTGTAGGCTCTGAACATCGAACAGAACATTACAGAACATTATGGCACTTCTGAATCTCCTAACCTTAACCCGAAAGTCGATGACGTTTCACAGCCATTAGGAATAACCAATCAGAGGCGAAAGAGGGTGGAACCTTCCCCTTACCATCTTACAAAAAAAGAAATCACGTCCTGCACATTGAGGGAGTCGCTGACGCTGCCGGTGTTGTGCCGAGAAATGTGTGTTCACTGAGAATTACTTTCGGAACATTACTCATCACTGTTTAGCCCCACAAATAAGAACTGTATGGGTTTTAAATTTTACATGTTTGTGGACCACTCTACTATAAGCAGTGCGCGTCTTGCGAGGTGCATGCATTTTTTGGTGGACATGCGTTTCTTGGCACAACACCGGTAACAACAACAACAATTGCAAAATAAGCAATGAACAAGACAAAACCACCCAAAATGAAGACAAAATGAAGACCAAAACATGTGTTCTGTGTTCATCTGTTGCCACAATAACGTCCTAGCACAATAAAAGCTAAAAATATCTCTGAGACAGACAAAAGCTGTTCTACTAACATTCACAAATAGAAGTAACATCAGAGCAGGTTAACTGTTCTCAAGATTTCAGCAGTGCAGCATAACATTAAGTGCTATTCAGGTCATCTGGTGAAAATTCCTGTATTTTTAATATAGCAATATATATCGCAGGGTTGAAAAAACTTGCATTGTTAATTTTTTCCTATATCGTGCAGCCTTAATATAAGGTTTGCAAAATGTGCAACATGAAAATAAAATACAGCATAAATAAGACAAACATAAAGGAAAGACAAATGCTTAATTAGCTAGACAGTTTAAAAAATTGTAGAAATCACAATATAATGTATCTTAATACCCACTGTATTGCAAAATGTTAAAAATCGTAATAATATTGTATCATGGCCCAAGTATCGCAATAATATCGTATCGTGGGGCCACTTGTGATTCCCACCCCTAACTTTTAAATGGTCTAAACATCCACGTGGTGGTCATAGTTCAACATCGATACATGCAGCAAAGCAACTTCTGACCCGCTTTCATTACTTTATGGTTTATATCAGCAAAAATCAGGGTGGTGCAGACAGGAAAAAAGTCCCCATGGCTCACAGGAAACTCCCTAGTGGATGGTTCCTCTTTAAAAAGTCCCCAGAGCTGTTTGGTCTGAATACCCCTGTGAACTGTCTGTGTGTACCTTTAGCAGCAGTGAGCATGGTGGAGGCCAGCTCACACTGTTGGGTCTCGATGTGGCTGAGCGTGAACCAGCGGGGGAGTCGGTTTGGAACCACGGACACGATGTGGTGAGGCCGGGACAGGTCAGAGGACGGGGATGTGGACTCCAGGACAGGCAACCTGAACACATAAGAACGAAGTTAAAGAGTTAAACTGTGAGAGGAAATTCAAAAGGCCTCAAGTCAAAGATTTATTTCATATCAAACCAAAGACACTCTTTCAAATAACAGCTCGGTTCCTTAAACTGTGAAACACACTCCAGTTAAATCTGCTGTGATGCTCCTTTTCTGCACTCCGATATTCCGCCTTTGTAGTTCAAGTATGAGATAAAAGAAGCATCCGGATTTACATATCAGACAAATCAAAGAGCTTTAATTCAGACGAGAGGATGTGAAGTTTGCTAACACCCGTGGCGGTCAGCGAGGAAACCAACAGCCTGTATTTATTATTCACACATTTTATAAAACTCCTTTTCAGCAGCTTTGAATTATTTAGTGAATATTTCAGCAAAAGGAGGTTTTGTCATTAAACTGTGCCCCAGATAGCTCCTAAATCTGACTCTCTTTTCCCCTCCCTATCTCTTTCTCTGAATTCATCACCCTCCTTAACACAAAATAAGACTAAAAGGAGGAAAAGGAGGATAGTGCAGTAAAACGTTTTCACCAATAATCAGGACAGTAACTCATAAGTCTCATTTCCCCTCCTACAAGGTTTGGAAAACCCCATATTTGCCTGATAACAGTTTGATTTAAGGCATTTCCATTTTAAAGAACCGTGTATAAAGATGTTTTTCAACAGGAAGGTGAGAATTAACCAATCAGTATATTCCCATCATCTGCTGTGATTTCAGCGTTTTTAAAGGAGTCAGGTATCGCCAGTTTTCACGACGACAGACAGGTTGTTGATTTCAAAAGATTTCCATTTTGGACCCTGAACTCTGTGCACAAACTAAAATGTTATTTAATTTGCATCCATCACACAGTTTCAGAATTGTCTGCCCAATAGGAAACAATCTGTTACAATCTGGCGTACCTCAAGGCAGTAGTTTGGGACCACTACTTTTATCAATATTCACCGGTGACCTCCTCTTATTCTTAATTAGGCTGGAGCAGATATGTGCACAGATGATACAACTCCATTTACTAGCAGGATAAATTAAAGGACTGTCTAGTTCTTTGGATAGAGAACTACAAGCTGTTGTTAAATGGAAACGGAGCGGTAAGTGGGTCCTCAGTTTATCAAAAATGGTTGACTAGGCTACAAATTTAGACTAACCCCCAATTTCCACCGCATCCGAAACGGCTATGAAAAGGCCGTATCCGCCGATCGCAGCTGATCGTAACCATTCAAGTTAATGTGTCAATTTCCACCGGCTTCTTTCTGTTCAGTTGCGAATCGCCGGACTCCGCAGCTGATCGCAAGAGGTCTATTTTTTCAGGACGCCGGAGCATGCCGGATAAATTCAGCACAGATTAACACGTGCGACGCGACAGTGTTGCTTTTGAGGTTTATGATAGATTTGAATTCTTCATACTTTCTCATGATCGTCTCCTGCACCTCGTTTGTAAAGTCCGCGGTCCTTCACTCTCTTGCCGGCTCTGACACTCCAGACTGGCCCATGTTTGCGATTGGTCAGATGCGGCGGGCTCCGCCTTACATGCGTGCACATGGTCATAGCAAAGCTGGATCCACTTACGAGGGTGATAACCAGCATCGTAAGACCATTTAGTGAGACCGCTGGCTACCGCTCTAAGTTGAGCGAGGTAGCTCCAAGGCTACCTCGCTAGGTTGAACTTGCTTCGTAGAACAGTCCCCAGGTTCTTGTGAGTTCTCACGATTCCTGCTGCCCGTAATCCACCACATAATTCACCTCACAAGCTGATCCGAGAGGAATTGGCGTATGGCAAAAAACGGCGCTGTTTCAGATCGGGGCCGTTCCGGATGCGGTGGAAATCACGGGTAAAAGATAACCACAGCTAATTTCAGAGTCTCTTTTAATATTTTATTTGTTGCTCTGTACTTGTGTTTGACCATAAAACAACCTTTTTGGTCAGTTTTATTTGATCCTTTTTTTAGTTTAATGGTTAATTACAGTTTGTACTTTTTATGTAAAACCCTTTTATTTCAAGCTTTGTCTCTTTTTTTTAATAGTTATTTTGCAGTTGAAGCCTCAGTTCACTTCAAAGTCAATCCACTCCTTTTTTTCAGATCATCATCAAAAGCTAAAAAGGTTGTTGGACTGAGTTTTCTCCAAGTTTTTTCTCATTTTGTGAATGAATTTCTTCTTCTTTTACTCACCGCATGGCCCTCAGTGCAATTTTGTACGCCAGCTCGGCGTCGTGAGGTAGCAGGGAGGTGAAGAGATACTTGGCAAAGGTGTGCATGGGGACGCTTTCTCTGTGGAGTAACTCCCCCAGACCGCTGTAAGGACCCGCTGCAAGAGACACAGGGACAGTTTAGACAGTTTAGTCTGAGCAGAGGAGACATGGACGTAAAAACAGAGATCATCTGCGTAATAGTTCACATGTTTGGAGGACGGCCTTGGTGTGTTTGAGATTATTCCCCAGAATGATAAGTTTGATTATAGACACACAGAGTGATCTGAACAGTCTGACTCCGGTTCTGTATCTAAACTTTGTTAGTCAAAGACTCAGAACACAGAGAGAGAGACATTTTTAAGAGGACATGAAAAACATCATGTAAGGATGACTGGCAAAGTGAACATGAATCACAGATCAGTCAGAACACAAAACTCCTTCCTCTTTGTGTTTCTGTAGTTTTATAAATATCTGATAGACAGTAGACGTAATCCCGTTCATCAGGTGATTCAGAATCAGGCTGATTAGAGCTCAAAACAACAGACACAAACAGTTTTTCTGGTGGCTTTACATCATAAAAGAGCCTGAACTATGAGGAGCCACAGCAAATACACAAACACACAGGCTTATTGTACACCAGTGCACACATTCATTCACACAACGTAAGCAAACAGACTGACAATGCTATGAACACACAAGTACAAACAGAGTGTAAAGGGACACATATGACACGCTTATGTACACAGAGTGAACACAGCGCAGCGCGCACACACTTCCACCACAGATAATCAACACACAAAGAGCTGGTTTGTGTCAGAGAATCATCTGTGTTCAGTGTTTTATGTTAAAATGGACAATCTGTACTCAAAGGTCGGGAACTTTCAGCTGCCAAAGGCCAAACAGTTCTGACCAATCAGGTATCAGCAGGGTTTGGTGAGTTTGTATCTTTGTATGAAGAGCAAAAACATCATTTTATCAATGTTTTGAAAAAGGTTTCTTCTCTTAGAGACACGTGCGTTCAAGTTTGACTTTTCATATTTACAAATCGGCATCAAAATGTTGTTTTAGGAAATTTAAGAATAGTAAATTTTCAGTGAGTTACAAGTAAATCAGTTTCTCCTTAAGGATTTAACCAGCATATTATGCCAGGAAACCTCTACAGTCAAACTCAGACCTTCTTAAAAAGTTAACCACAATGAAGTTTCCATGTAACTCACTTTTAACTGTCAAACTGAGACCCTCTTAAAAGTAGGGTGACCATATTCTGAATCCCCAAAAAAGAGGACAGGGCGGAGTTACAGAGTCACATGTAGTTAATTTTGATAGTTTTTCGGGTCGGATCAAGTGTTTTTCTTTTTTACATGTTTCTAACTCTGTAAAACCATGCGACACAAACTCAAAACTTCTGTACAAAACCCTGGACATTTGACGGATTTTATAAACCCCTCGGACAAAGCTGGTCAGGCCGGATGGCCCCCGAAAAAGAGGACATGTCTGGGTAAAAGAGGACGTATGGTCACCTGATCAAAAGTAAGGCAAGCTGAAATCAAACCAACACCTGCTTGTGGGTTAGCCACAGTTAAGTCTCAACGTGATTAACTTTTTACTGTTAAACTGAGACTTCCTTGAACGAGACACAATGAGGTCTCTTTGTAACCTGTTTTGGTATTTACAGTAAAACTCAGACCTCCTTTGAAGTAAGACAGTGAAGTCCCCATGTAACTTGTGATTTACAGTGTGTTTGTACAGGTGATTAGTGTAACTTTACACAGCGATCTTTAGATTAACATGTTTAATTAGAAAACTAGAACTGTTGAAAATCTATCTTTAGCACCGTTAGCATCCTTACTTGGCTATGCTATTATAATGCTAATGCGAATGTTGACTGTAGTTAAGAAATTAAAGCAGCGTTTTATTCGTCCTCACCCTCTAGCAGAAAAGTCGCTTGTTTCCGGAAGATCTTCACCAGAGTGTCGTCTAAATCCACTTCCTGAAGTCTGGTGAGGAGCTGCTCTTCGTTCCGACACACTTTCTCCTGAGCGTAGAGTCCGTCTGGCATCACTCGCTGCTGCCCCAGACCAATCAGAGCCGTCTCCACCGCCAGAGACACGAACGACTCGCCGTCCTCTAGGAAACGCTGCTGTGCCGAGAAAACAGGAAGCTCCGCCCTCCTTCCTGAGCCTGAGGAGAAAAGAAGGGGAGCCCAGTGAGCACGGATTGAGATTTTCATAAACCATCATCCATCCATGCTGCTTTCTTTAGACTTTATCATAACTGGGTTTCCATCTGTGCATTAATATGACCAAAGATAATCGCCTCAGGGGTCTGTAATTTGAGCTGTTTCCATAGCAACGGTCTGATATCAAGACATAACAGACCACTATTATGAGCTGCATTAGCTACATTGCCTAATTAGATTTAAATCCTTTAGCATAAAAAGTGAACTGAGGAATTGATAAGGTAAGACTTCTTTGTCTATAGGGGCTGCCAAAATGGCCCCCATTGAAAATGTTGAAAAACTGGTTCAAAAATATTTTTTTCCATCAACCATCAAAAAGACACCCAGTTAAAGTCACGGTCCCTACACAGTTGGAATTTCCATACCTTACTTTTTAGAATTATTCTTGGAAATACCAACTTTTTTATTTCAGAAAACAGTATTTTATGACTGTGGTTATATAATCTGTTAACATAGATATTTTTCCATACTTCATTTTTCATTCTCCATTCTTTTTAAGACCAAGATTTGATCAAATTACTTCCAAACTTTTCTATACTCTACTTTTTGGAATTATTCTTGGAAATACCTACTTTTCTATTTTAGATAACAGTATTTTATAACTGTGGTAATATAGTCTGTTAACAGAGATATTTTTCCATACTTCATTTTTCATTCTCCATACTTTTTAAGACCTAGATTTGATCAAACTACTTCCATACTTTTCCATACTTGTGTAGGAACCCTGTAAAGTGTACTTACAGATCAGATTAAAAGAGTGAGAAACTGAAAATTATGTGCACACATGTTAAGAAAAAAGATTAAAAAATTGTAAATCCTTCAAAATATGGTCTTCGTAAAGAGGGTCTGAGCACTTCTGCATGTAGACTGTATACATGTAGAGAGAGAGAGCAGGAAGAGAGGGATGACTGGGAGGAAAATGTTCCCTTTGGGCAGAGTATTGATGACGTTATTGATGTATTTGTTCGTTCTGGACCTTTTTCAGAGCCTGGATCCTCCTGAGGACGGTAATCATGTGTTTTAATGGCTTAATGATGTCTTAGCAGACCTCACAGCTCATCCCAGGAGAGTTAGCAGTCCCTGATGAACACACGCACACTCACACACACACTCACACTGGTATAAATAGCTGAGTGTTGGAAGTCTTAATTGAAACTTTCACAACTTCTCCGTCGGTCCACCTTCAGGAGAGAATCCAGCTGTCTTTCCAGGTTTCAGTCAGTTGAATTTCGTCTCTCCGAGCTTGCTGCATAATTAATGCCTTTTAATTGGAGTGTTTTTCCTGCTGCATGTCTTATTCATGAGCTGTTATTGGAGGATGACTGGAGGCCAATCAGCTCGTCTGTGTCATCGCTGCTGATTACAACCTGAGGGCCTGAAGCTCTGACAGAGAGACCGAATCACTGCAGAGTAAATGTTTGAAACAGGCTCAAGAGACGCCGCGTGTGTTTGTGAAGCAGGAACTGTGACTGATCTGCCTTTATGAGGATGTTCTGTTCCCATTATCTGCTGCGCTACAGTTCAGAAGTGAATGTAGAACTTTTTATTCCTCAAAAGTTTTTAGGAGTTATATTTGCTGAAACAGATTCATATCGTAACTCTTGATCGTATAAAAGGTCAAATTCACCAAATGATTCCCAATTTTTGTGGCTTTTGACTTTAAAAACCGTGTCCAGGTATCAAACACTATATGTTATATGAATTCAGTGAACTTTTTAAAGTCCCACAGAAGTAAAATCAGTTGAATCTTACTAAAACATCAAGCAGGATGAGAAACTTTTCAGATATAAAATCATATTTTTTCTAAAAAAAATCACCTTATGAGCCCTCAGGTTTTATTTTGAAGGGTCCAACACCCAGACTTGGAGTCACTGGACCAAAGTAGCTGACTCTGTAAAAACTACCTTAAACTGTTTTCACCTAAAACATCACCAACAGAAAATACTGCAGATGCATCAGTAACAAATGAGTAAAAGTTCCTGACTGTGAGACTTTAAATGAGTTTTTTTGTGTTTTTGTACCCAAACAGTCATGCTGAGTGTTGGCTCCCTCCTCGCTGCCTCGCCCCATCTCCATCAGGGTGCTGAACAGGGTCCCGATGGGGTCCAGAGGGTGGCCCACCCAGCCCTCCAGGTTAGTGATGGATGTTATTCCTTTATGGAGCAGCTCTGCGGTGAATCAGACACAAAATGTGAAAAACATTTCCTCTTTCAATGGAGATGTTAGGGGTTGTCGGTAATTCTGGGCCATTTATGAAGAAACAAGACACGGACCGTGACAAGCAGCAAAAAAGTGATGAAATAATTTAAAAAATAAAGTTATTAAATTTAGTTCATACAGAATAAATACAGAAATGACAAAAAGAGACCAGCAAGCTTGAATTTGATGAATGAAAAATTAAAAGACTTGAATCATCTTGATATTTTAGTTTTCACCTTTTTTGTGAGCGCGGAAAAACTCCAGCTGTTTCTGCTGCTGCCTCCTCAAGGTGTTAACAATGGCGATGGCGAGCCTGAGTGCTTCTTTAGGGTAACCGTGTGACCTCAGAGCGTCCACTCTGGCGCACGCCGTCGGTACGTGCTCTGCAGAGAAATAACAGAACGTATATCTCAGATGTCTTCCTTCAGTTTCACATGATTAAAAACAACAGTCCCACCGCATCCTTACCGTGCCACAGCGGCCACCCTCTGGTGTCGAACAGGGAGCTGTCGAGGTTGTCATGGTAACAGTAGTTGGTGTATTGGTCCTTGGTGATGATGTGCTGCAGGTGGGGGTCCTGCCAGTGCAAGTCGCAGGCCTCGATTGCGCGCGTGAATACAGTCCGGTGAGGCCGGGTCACTGAATCTGAAGAACATGAACAGATGGGTGTTAGAAACACCGAGGCAAGGTGACAGGTGCATGCTGGGAGAAAAATTCACTGTGAATCAGCTTCTGATTGGACAGCAGTGGCGAGAACATGCACATCATGGAAGCTTTTCTAACACTTGTAAACCCCGACCAATCAATGCTACAGACTAAATTTGAACTCCTCAGATCTGGACTGAAAAAAGACATTATCGTAATATTGTAATGTTTGAGATCATGATGATTTAGAGACACTAAAACCTTGTTATTTTACTTCTTTTTTCCTTGTGTTATGACTTTACAAGAACAAGGATTCACAACAAAATACAAGCAGAGCTTAGGTTACATCTGCTTTACTCCATAACCAAATCATTTTTCATGTTTTCATACTTAAACTAAAGCAAATGTGTTTGTTAAAATAAGAAATAAGCAAAGAGAGAGAGAGAATAAAAGCTCTGTTAGTGAAGATAACTGATGAAATTTAAAATCAGTTGTTGTTTGTTTTAGCATGACTTTCCTTCAGGGTTTTTGTCTGAGTGAGCCGTGTGAGATATTTTTATTAAAAAGCCGTCTATGAGGGGTTTAAAAAAAGGTGATAAGAGAACACATTCAGGCACATTAAGGAGCAAACAGCAGCAGTAATAACAGCCTGTCTTCTCATCTGAAACGCTTTTATTGCCGGCTGATAGAAACGTCCACGTGTCTGTATTTTCTCTGATTTAGTGGGAAAAGCTGCAGGACCTCGCCCGTGTTATTAGGCTCATTCTATTAGCCACAGTAAAGAGGTAATAAGGCTCGCAGGCACAGAGATTGAAGGGGGGAGAGTTGATTAAAAAAAGAGGGGGGAGGGAAGTCAGGGGGAGGAGGAGGAGGAGGGGGAGGAGAGGAAGGGAAAGAGGCTCTCAGATGTGATGTGGGGTCAGATTCAGGGTGCTGTCTCTACTCCAGCCGGCGCACCGTCTCACCTGGGTTGCCGGCAGGACCCTGAGGCAGAGCGTTGGTCAGATTGGTCAGCTCGCTGCCATGGTTACCGTCCTCCAAGGGACACACATCCACGCCGTTCCACCTGCGAAGCTGACGGAGCCAGAAACCTTTCTGCTCGGGTTTGTAGTGAGGGTTCAGCACCACGCACATCCACAGAGCACCTGCAGAGACACAAACACACACACGGTGAAGATTTCGACCGAACGCTGATTTAACCAACATTTACACCCAAAGAGCACGACTCAGTTTATTATAAAACTTCAGTTCTTTGTATTTTTATTATTTTTATTATTATTGTCCGTTTTCCCCCCACGGTTTCTCCTCTTCCAGACTCATCCTACATCGTCATGTCGTCATGTCGTCATGTCGTCATGTCATTGTTTAAACCTCATTATCTGTTCACTGTTTACTCTTTCAATATGAAGGTTTGTAAAGAGATATATCGTATATATATATATATATATATATATATATATATATATATATATATATATATACAATAATAACACAATAAAACCAACTTAAAAACTTGACATAATTCAAATTAAACACTTTAATCAATCATCATAAAGATTTTGTTTCAGAGTGACCTAACCCTTTTTTATGAATTTAATATATTAAAGCTCCTGTGAGGAATTTTAATATATTTGTGTCAAGTTTGGCGCCCCCTGTGGACAGAGCAGTTGTTGCTTTTCTCGTCCTCTACATGCTTGAGTTTCAACAGAAAATCTCATCCAATCAAAAGTGTCATTTATTGTGAATATTTAAACAAAAATTCTGTTGTGATCATCAATAATTCACTAGCAGAGTGAATAATGACGACTTTTAATCCCGACAGTCCAGGTTCAGGTCCTGTTTTTATAACTGAGACAAAAGCCCACAGATGTTTACTTTACACTAACAGAAAACAAAGAAAAAAGGCCGATCAGCTCAAATTAGACGCTGACATTAAAGATTATTTTGTGCTTTTAGGTTTAAGAATGACTAAAATGGTTTTAAAGCTGCAGATTAATTTACAGAAAGAAGACAAATTGTTGCAAATTGGAGAAAAGCGAACAGAGATCAGCTCCATTGTTGTCTAAAAAAACCTGATGACACCGGAGAAAGAAGGAGGGAGGAGAACAATGAGCATGCTGAAGGATAAATAAAGGATGACAGATGACAAAATGAAACACAGGAAGAAAAGAAAGGAAGTGAAGTGAAAAAAAAAAAAGAGGACAGGGAGGAGAGGTGAGGGGAGAGACGGCTGAGGACGGGGGGAGGGGACGAGGGGAGGAGGGGGTTTATCCTCCGTCTCTTTGTTACGGCTGCTTCAAGGACAACAGTGAGGAGCGAAAACAGAGCGCCGACAGGAGTGATGTCAGGCGTGAGTGACGAAACGCAGAGCAAGAGTCACAACAACAACAACAGAAGAAGGGGGATTATGGGTAAAGAAAAACAAAAACAAAAGGAGGCAGGACATGGATTGAGACATACAGGCTGCCGTATGTTGGTTATGAGGAATAAAGCCTGATTTATTTCTCATCATGAGATCGAGTCATTTTATTGGCTGATGCTTGGCTGCTCATCTGTGTGGTCGCAACACGCCGGGACAAAACACAGACCTGTTTGTTTCTTTGTTTATACACAATAGGAGTGGGATTCAAGGTATCGTAACACTTTTTCCAGATTGGGACACAATCTTTTAATCTTGACATCCATGGGGTGATATGACAGTGGAAACATAAAACTAGAAACGTTCTTTTTTTTTTTAAACTGGAAAAAAAAAATGTTGAAAAAAAATTTAATCTTCTCATTCTTGAAAATGTCATGGTGAAAAATCATCACTAAGATCTTAATAATTGTCAGATTATCACAGATGTTATGACAGATTTCATTCTGCTTGCTTTTGCTCTCCATACAGACTTTTTTTCCTGCATGCTGATTCATGATTGGTCATTACATCTTAACCCATTAAGACCTGAACCCTGTCTGAGACACGCCTCTGAAATCCTGAGGGCAATTTTGAGAAGGGCCCCCAGATCCTGAGGTTTTCTTAAATGTTGAGGTTTACAAAACAGCTGATATCTCGGCCTCTGTAGCAGATAGAAACAAAATTCCAAGTGAGAGAGGGCTTACATATGTGGCTTTCAAGAGGACTATCTTTTATTCATCTAACCCTCTATCCCATTATTGAAAACCTTGGACAAGCAGACTCAAATGAAATAAAGCGGCTGTATAAATAAAAGTAAAGGCTCTGCACTGGAGAACAACAAACTATTTGCTTTCTGTAAAACAAGTGGCAGTCATGATAAAGTCTCTATTCAATACAAATGTTGAAAGGGTATGCAGCTGCCCCAGTACAGTGCCAGTACAAAAGCAGCACCGAAAACTAAAAAATAAATAAATCAATAAATACGTGGCTGACAGTGTGTTCATGTCTGTGCTCACCTAATGTCATGCAACACTCACAGAAAACGCAGACAGTGTGAGCTAAAGGATTCAATATGAAGAGGTTGTTCACAGTGCTGGATGCTTCTCACTGCCTCTGTCATTCTTTACTTTCCTCACGTAACATGTAGCAAGAGCCAAGCATGAATCCAACTGCTTTACTAAGCTTTTTTAGCCAGAGGCAGACGGGTATAATGATTTGATTCACCACGACTCATGAAATGATTGAAAAACTACTGAATGTTACGAAATGACATATCCACGCTCCTGGGTACATGCTGTCCCGGTTTAAATGGGTTAAACTACAAACTCTATAAAAATACAACAGTTCCATGAAATCCCTTCCTGCAGCGTAAACACACTGACTGAAAGAAATGTGGGCTTAGTCTCAAAATGGCCTCACCCTCTGGTTTCTTGAGGCCAAATGATGATTTGGAAATGCTGACTCAGTCAAAATTTTGTTAAAAATCAAATATGCATAAATCAGATATTCAGTTAGAGTTTACTGTAGTGCTAAGTGTGTGTGTGTGTGTGTGTGTGTGAGAGAGAGTGTGTGTGTGTGTGTGTGTGTGTGAGAGAGAGTGTTGAGGGGGTACCTAGTTCGTCCCACAGCTGCCTGTATTTGTCCGTCATGGTGGTCCCTTGTTGCCTCCACAGAGCCAGTCTGGGGTCGCCCATGAACTGTTCTGTGATCAGCGTCAACATGCGAGCTCCGTTTGAGTCCCTCATCTTCAGCATCTCCCTCACCTGTACAGACCAGAGTGAATTATGGGTAAACTGTAACCGCAGACCCGCCACACTGCAGCTTCGTGTTCTGTATAAAAGCGGCGTCATAAATATCGGCGGTACCTTGCTGAACAGTAAGTTGAGCTGCTTTCCCGAGCCGTGGTACCCGCCCTGTGACAGGAAGAGTTTGACCTGCTCCTGAACCTGCTCCTCGTCCAGATGCCAGCAGTTCTCATCGTCCACGCTGGCGCCCGCTGTCGGATCTGGAGCTCCTGCAACCAACAGAGGAAGTCAGTCAGTCAGTAACCCGTAACAACAGCCTCATCACAGTGAAAAACAATCATTTAATGGTCCTGGATCTTCAGTCGGAAAAGGTTAAATTCTCCTGGTTTAATCCGTCTGCTGTTCATGCTATTCCGAAACCAGCAACATGTTTGTAGTATCGATCAAAACCTTCGCTCAAGTCTGCTACAAAACCCCTTAAAAGATGTATAATTGTTCTGAGACCACATCCATCACTGATTATATTCAAACTGTAATGAAGAACAAAATATTTACAGGAGAAAGAGGTGGACAAACATGCATAGAGCTGCATCAGCGTTTGCATTAATGCATTTATGCAGTGCTGGTTAAGCTGAAACATGGATCAATACCAAGAAATCTGCAAAATCAGCAACAATAACGAGATAATATGAACTTAAGAGACATCCAGGATTGTTAACATGTCACAAGGGACGATTAAATCCATGAGACTCGTGCATAAAGGGATTAATTCAATAATCAAGGGCCAACAAGTGACTGCAGAGGAAGGACAGACTCTATAATGCATACAGTAATAAACCGTACACAGGTAGACTGATGAGAAGTCGAAGAGGAATCAGGGAAAAGCTCCAGATCGAAACAAAGAGACAAATATTCAACAGACACCGGATTCTTCATCTGTGATACCCAGACAGAAACACCCTGAAAAACACCCTAAAAAGACCCTAAAAAACACCCTCAAAAGACCCAAACTCATGTACCAGAGTAAACATGAATGAAGTGCAGCTGTATCCTCACATTTAAATAACCCGCCAGGTCTGCCCTCTGAATTCATGCTTTGTTATTCCAAGTGAAGATTTGAGTCTAGTTTGAAACTAAAGTGAATGCTGAGACTAGAAATCCAGGCTGTATTGGAGCTCCTGTAGACCAAAAACTGGGTCAAGAAGAAGATTTCACAGCTGCTCTTCAGAGACAGAGATACCAGCATCATCTGCAGCAGTTTTTACAGCGTTACCTGACAACCACTGGTCATGAGAAGGTCCTGAAAAAGAGGACTTACCCTTCATATGATCTATAGCTGTTTGACTCACCGTGAACCTGGTTGATCTCTGAGTTCTGTGACAGGATCTCGTCGGCCAGTTTCTGCGCCGTGGGCAGGACCTCGGTGTGATGGACCGTGATCAGGTACTGAACGAACTTCTGCAGCTGATCTCTGTTCATTTGGAAAAGAGTCTCTGAGATGGGCAGGCGCAGTTTGACCTGCTCGGGTTTCCGTACTCTGTATAAGGACAGCGCCACCACATGGGCGCAGTAGAAGATGTCCTTGTTCCCACAGCTGCAGGTGACGGCGGTGATTTTACAGCGGTCGAAGCTCACGCTCACGTTACAGAGCAGCTCAGGCTCCGAGGACGTCGCCGGTTCTCGGACGGTGCCACTGAGATGAAACCCTGAAGAAAACACAGAAGATAGATTTATCATCACCAGGTTACATGAAACCATGACAACACTTTGATTAAACCACACAGAAACTCTTTAAAGTCACAATAACAGACTTTTTATCCACAAGAGGTCAGCTGAGACGAGTTTAAATCATAATATGTGGAGAAATTATCAACTTTAAATAGATAATTTTGGAGAATTAAATCTCTGTTCATGTCGTTTAAGACTCTTGAGATGTTCGTTTTAATGAGAATACTCTTTGGTGGAAAACGACGAACATCAGGAGGGAAAAATGAGAAAGAGAAACGAGGGCGATGACCCTCAAATATTCTCATTTCCTTTTCATTTCCCTTCCACAACACCTCCAGAGTTTACCTTCCCCTGAACACCTCCACCCTCTGACGGAGAGCCGGGATCATTTCACCCCAGGCAGAGAGCGTTTATTGTATAGTGAACCTATGGCCTTCAAACAGGATTAAACCTACAGACCTCCATGTGTGTAAACTTTAAACACAGAGGCAGATTTCAGCATCGACTTTGAACCGCCTGAACTCAGATTTCTGTCAGGTATGTGGGTCTCAACCAGGAAAATAAAGCTTCATACTTTCTGATGTGAAGAGGAGGAGGATTTTTAAAACCCCCCCGGTGACAAAGTGTGCGAGCTCTGAAAAAAAGATGAGTAAGAGGAGTCTGAAAACTCAGCAGCTGCATGTAGGAGGTACAAAGAGGAACACCGCGTCAAACCAGATTGACAAAAATGACTACGCAGCAAAAAACTGTCGAGCGAAGTTTTTCTGAAATGACGAAACGCTCCCAGAGTAAGTGAGTGAGTCAAGATGTTTCTGACTGGGTTAGTGGGTTAAAGTGGAAGACAGATGGAGTCAGAGGCAGAGCTGATGCAAAATATATGATCTGTAGTTTTTGGACTTTACATAGAGGGAGTTTTTCTGCTGTTTCATTCTCACTGTAGGTAACGCTAGACTCCTAATTACTGTAATCAGCACAGAGATGAAAATACAAGAGTTCAACTGATCAAAGGTTTCAGCTGCTCAACAGTTTGGGGTTTCCCCTGGTCTGTTTTTTTGCAAAAGTTAACAAGTCAGGACTACAGGACTCTTCTTCTACAGAGCCATGCTGTTATAATCCCTGTTGTCAGAATGTGGTTTGGGATCATATGAAGGTCTTCCTTGAAAAAGTCATTGTCTGGATGGCAGCAGCTGTTGCACCTAAACCTGTAGATATTGTTTAGAACTGCGCATGCAGCATCTATGATTTCCAATTCTTCCTTTAGCAGAACATTTTCTGAGTTCTGTTGTCCCTGTCCAGATTTCTTCTTAATTTGTTGTTTGCATTAGACCTAAAATAAGCATTCATCTGTATCAGCTCTCTTTGCACGTATTTGATCTAAATAAAGGGTTTAAATGATTCGATAACCGTCATAATCTCAGCATTTTCAAGGCGTACAAACTTTTTTTTTTGGAACGGGGGATATGTTATTTTCCTGCCATCTGAGTCTGACTAACAGCTGAAAGTGTGCAGAAAAGCTGTGATCGTGGTTTTCACGCTGAAACATTAGCTGGAAGGTTGGATTTCCACTTTGCACAAATGTTCACAAACATGTGACAAACACACACACACACAAACACCACAGCTGACACATATCGGCCTGCTGGTGGAAGAAGGCAGTAAACAGAGGAGGTGTGTGTCTGCGTATGTGGTGCGAGTGTGTGATACCGAGAGGAGCAAAAACAAAAAGAGAGAAACAGAAAAAAAAACGACGTGTCAGTTTTTAGCGCAGCTGTTTCTGCTCCACAGACACACAAACACACTTTGAATCACACAACCACAGTTCCACATCCTGTCTTTTCAAAACACACACACACACACACACACGCAGACACACACACAGAAAAATGCAGGGTGTTCTCCAGCCCTGCCCCGGTCATGCCTGGCCCACAGCTGAACTACTGACGTAACAGAAAGAGAGAGTGACTCGAGGAGGAGGAGGAGGAGGAGGAGGAGGAGGAGGAGGCTGCTGTGCTGCTACTGCTGCTGGAAAAATCGGTATGCCCTCAGCTGAGTGTGTGAGTCTGTGTGTGTGTATGTGTGTGTGAATGTGTGCACATGCAGGAGTGTTGGCTTGGCGGCGAGCCAAAGCCCTGAGCTCAGCATTCTGTAATTCACTTCCTCTATGTGTGTGTGTGTGTGTGTGTGTGTGTGTGTGTGTGTGTGTGTGTGTGTGTGTGTGTGTGTCTGCTTCACAGCTTGCATAATACAGCACTGTGCCGAGCTTGGCAACCAAACTTAACTCCTTCACTCCCAGTGCCGAGTCATTCAAGAGTTTACGGGGTAATCTGGGGGGGGGGTAATGACAGGAAGGACCATGATGAAAGTTCAGTTTGGATTCTGAAGAAAAAGTATGACTCAAAAATAAAACTGAATTATGAACGACTGTAACTAAACTTGTAGCAAGTAAAAAAACAGATCATCACAGAGTCAAGCACATTTTACCTCTGCCTGTTGACACTGTGAAAAAAACGCAAGAGTCCGTCTCAGGCTGGTCCTCAGAGTGAGGAAATAATGAGGATTGAGGGCAGCCTGAGGAGCGCTCCGATTGGAGAAAATGGAGCAACGTCTTGTCCTGCAATCCACGTAACAGCAGCAGAGCTACTTAAAAAGATTTTTCAGCCACAGGAAATGTGGGGAGTCAAGAGAAGGAGGAAGACACCCAGAAGAGGGTCTCTGCAACTGCAGCTGCAATGAGGACTACAGCCTCCAAACATGGGGCGCACTTTGACTGCCCCAGCGATGTTGAGTGTTATTAGATTCTAGATTGAGAGGCTCCCTTGTTCACCCCTCCTGTTTGGAACAACGACGGCCTTCAGGGACAAAAAGCTCAGGATGTGATATGTGTCTGAAAACTTCTAACCCCCAATTTCCACTGCATCTAGAACGGCTGTGAAAAGGCCGTGTCCGCCAATCGCAGGTGATCATAACCATTCAAGTTAATGTGTCAATTTCCACCGATTTCTTTCTGTTCCGCTGGGGATCGCTTAATTGCAAGAGTTCTATTTTTTCTGGACGCTGGAGCACGCCGGATAAATTCAGCACAGATTAACTTGGCTGGAAAGGAAGTCGGGCACAGACACAAAATAAAACATCCAGCTTCTTTTCAAAATAAAACAGTGACTGTTTCAGGCAGATCATATTTCACACCATGCAAACAGGCGGAGACGAACAAGTGCAAGGTTTTTAGATGTCATTTCACCCCAATGACACTATGGATGAGGAGATGCTGATTCTAGAAGTCTAGAAGTGGATTTCCTCCTCTGGAAGGACACAATCTACTGCTTCTATGTCTATGTGGCTGTCTTTATAGAGACAACTTGTTATCGCGCGATTGCACGTGAATCCTCAGGTTGTTGTGAGTTCTTGCGATTCCTGCTGTCTATAGTTTGCCACGAAATTCTTCTCACAAACAGATCGAATAGGAGTTGGTGGACAGCAAAAATCCCCTGTATTACGGATCGGATGCAGTGGAAATTGGGGGTTACTAAGACAGATTCTATAACCACAGTTTTCTTCTTCTTTTATTCAGTGCATTTCACATGTCCACCCACTAAGATCATAAACTTTTCTGTTACCATTCAGTCTGTTCAGTTTGCTTTTTAAAATAAAATAAAAAGGCATCAATATGAATTTCAGTCTCTTTAAATAAGAAAAAAAAAGTGTTTTTTTTTTGTGCTCGGCTGAACTGCTTCTTGTCCCCGCTGCAGATTTCCAATCTTCTTATTCCGCTCTTAGCAAAAATAAACCAATAAGCATATTTTCTTGATCCAGATTAGTGGCACTAAGTGTGTGTGGACGGATTAAACAATTGAACATGATTTAAGTGTTGCTTTGTACCTGCAGTAGCGGGCTTTAGTGTCCGTGTTTTCCAGAAGTCTGACTGAAATCTGACAAAATAGGATTAAAGAGTGTAATCCTCTGTCACAACAATACCACCTTCAGTGTGTGGGTGTATCAAACATTCAAATATTGGAAATTAAATATACAATAGTTATAAATTTAACATTTTAATGCTCTTTGTGGCCCTTTTCTTCTTATTTTTATAAATACACCAATGATTTAATCTGACGTTTGAGACGTGCAAGTACCCAGAATACCCTTGCCTGGAAACCAAGGTTTTACACTTCACTCCCAATTAAGCCCCAGGTAGTCGACTTAAGCCGTCTCTATAGGATTCAGGGAGGAGGATGTCTCAGCGAGAGTAGGGGAGATAGAGGGGAGGGGGTGTTTTGTAGCTGAAAACAAGGCCAGGACGTTTTCCTGTGAAAGAGCAGATCCCCACAGGGTTCATCCTGAGGAGAGCTTCATGCCACAGGCCCTGAGCAACATGCTGACTGAAACTTAAACTGTGAGTTTGCAGGCAGGGGTCGTTTTCAGTTGTAAGGCCAAAGACAACATTTACCAGAGCTCCAAATGCACAAAAACATGATAGTTGACCCCCTTTGGCTTCTTCCAAGAGAAAGACGGTGACTGTAGCACAAAACACCCATAAAACTTCCCCAATTTTTCCGACAAGCGGCACTCAAAAAAATATCTAAACTTTTTGTCTTGACTTTACACAGAATGTTTATCACCAGTTTCCTGCTAAAATTTCCACATTGAACTTCTTAAAGCTGCACAAATTTACCCAGACAATGCTGTTCAGGGCAGATTTTCTCCTGCATGTCTACACATCAGTTTGCATGTTGGGCTTTGACTGGAAGTTGGTTTGCATGTATGCACTGTAAGGACGCTAGCTAGTAAACAAAACCTAGACCAAATGAGAAGGGGTGAAAAAAGGCGAATTTTCATATCGTGCAAAAGGAACAAAGCTGTTGTCATTGTTCGATGCACAACCTGTTAGCTTCTTATTAACTTGTTTGTCAATTGTTTTGGTAAATGTTATAAAAATCAATCACGGAGATGTCCAAGAATTAATGAGCTAAACGGGGACATTTCAATGCCGACTGGCGTAGGCAGACATATATTCAATAAACCAATTCTTTCCTGGTGCTTGTAAACTGGGACAAGGACAGTAGTCTGGTTAAATAGCCTAATTGAATTACAGTGTATCTGCAGCTCAACTTAACTGTGCACGCAAGCGTTCTGACTATGGCTTTTACCACATGTTTTAGATGTCATCACCCACCTTCCCCCTCATCCAACAGCAAAGATTTCACACTGACGTGTGTTAACGCGTAACTATGCAAAATTTGATTGCAGAGCTCCTGAACAAATCTTGGACATTTACACAACTGCATATAAGACGTTTCCAGCCACCACTGAAATGTCGTTCAAAACTGATTCAAATTTCTGACCATTTAACAACACAGATCAGCTAGCAGTTTTGTTTAGACCAGGTTTCATCAGAAAATCCGTTATTTATTTCATATTCACACGCAGCTTTTCAAGCAAGTCGCAGCTGGTTAAAACAGGGTTTAAGGGAACAGTGCATCACAGACAACCATAAAATTAACTGTATGACGATAAACTATTTGCATGCATGATTATTGTTGGTTCCTGTCTCATCAGACCTACACAAGTCCAGCCATCATGGGTCTCTTTAAGCCAAGTTTTCTGTTACAGTACTGTTTCTAGACCTTATGACTAACCGTCTATAATACACTGTATTTATAGTTTGAATAATAACAGAATAATGTATTTGCATAATTGAGATTTCACTGTCTGTTGCCTAATAATTTTGGAGACATTCTTAGTAGGTTCAAAAACAGCTGTAAAGATGTCGTCAACATTCAGACCTGATTTCACCTTTTTCAAACTAAAGACAAACGCTGAAATCTCAGTTGCTGCTCAGCGAGTTTATACACCAGTCAGCCTCTCAGACAGCTCATGCAGGCTGAAAACAGTCCTCTCAGGCGTACTTAAGAGCTGCTGGGCCGAGGTGTGCTTTGTGTTTGCGAGTGTTTGAGGACTTCTGATGACAATGGGGAAGCTAATCTCTCGCCCGTGGAGATGCAGAGCCACCTCTGGGGCTGCAGGAAGGAGAAGTAAACAACCAATCAATACTCATGGTGCGCTGATAACCATCTGTCCTTAATGCCGGTGTCAGATCAGCCTCCCGTTGCACTCACTGAAGTTTATGGAGTTGTTTGCTGACTGGGAACGAGTAGGTGGTGATAGACCTTTTACAGTTAGCTAGTTAAACCTATTACATCACATACCAAAACAATCGACAAACATGTTAGCAAGAGGCAAACTGGTTTTAAGTCAAGAAGTTAAAACCACCAACAGTCTTTTACAAGCAACTCATGGTGCCTTTGTTAGCTTGATAAGCTAGCTATAATTATGACATCTATTCAGATATCAGACTGACAACTGATTACTGTAAATAAGATGTAAAAGACTGTACTTGAAAAAAATTATACCACAATTTTGGTGAGATAAATCTGCCAGTGTTGCCATTGTGGACTGGCAGCTTGGCGAGAGGTCAACTGGGTTCATGAGCTTACGGCGAACACAGTGGAGTGTCAGGGGACGGGGGGGTTGAAGTGTGTGTTGTAAGAAGATGGAAGGATGCACCTCCATGCAAGCTGAAAACGAGGTCAATAAGGGTTATAGCTAACTAGGCCATAGCCAGCAGCGCTTCATAGTGTGAACATCCTGATCAATACTCTCGTCTTTGGTGTGAATCTAACCAGTTTTCTGCTTCTTCCTCCAGTTTAACTTCGGTATAAAAACTTAAGATTCAACAAACTGCACTGAGGTACCAAAGAGGTGGAAAAGACTTGAAGTTTCTCAGCCCTATCAGGACAAAGCAAGAGACCATCTTCGCATTGTGTAAGACATCGCAAACATCCCCCAGTAAACAGGACTTAAGACTCTATGAAACCATCCTAATAAAGACTCTTATTTCAAAATGACTCAGACAAAAATCACCACAAACAGAAAACACATACACAATCTCAGCAGCATACGACACACGCAGTATCAGTCTGTGTTTCCGTGCCCAGATGGTCATCCGAGGTTTCACAAGAAGCTCCTCCAGGAACCAAAGAGGATTTCCCCCTCCCCTGTCTCCTTAGGTTTAAAAGCATTTGTTTGAGTGCTCAGAGAAAAGTCATCTGTTTGTCCTCTGTGGACCATCAGCAGACCAGTCAGAGCCTTTCTACTCCAAATGCATTTATTCCCAAACCAGAGAAACAGCAGGTCTCTGCAGAGATGATCCTCTCAGAGCTGAACTGCTGCTAACAAAATCAGGAACCCCATAAAAACCTCAATCTAAACATAGGAAGCATTTATCTTTAGATTACGTGTTTATTTGTTTGTATTTTTTTCATATTATTGTCCAAGAGATTTGCTTTAACACTCAACTACACAGCCAATATAAAGCTAGAGTCAGTAGATTAGCTTAAAAATTAAGTAACAGTTTAAAAATTAAGCTAGCTCTGTCACTGTTAATAAAGTTAATGTAAAATCATTACTCAAAGTGTTAGACAACAATATTTTTTTGCCATGTAAAGACGATGGTGGAGTAAAAATTTATCACAAAACCTCAGCGAATATCTGTTTTAATTTTGTTAATGTTTCAGCCGGTGAACCGTTGGACATTAAAAACCCAGATTTCTTCTCAAATCGTATCGTATTCCTGTGAAACAGTTAGTTAGTCGAGGGAGGAAGTAATATTTTTGACACTTATAACAAGTGCAGAGAGGGGACAAATCCTCTCCTACTTTATTCTCCTCTTTATTTTCATTCATAAACTTTTCCTGATGCTCATTGGTGACAAAGACACGATCAGCTATCAGAGCGACAACAGACGTTTTACTGCTTTTACCATTAAAGACTCTGCGTAAAAGTCTCGATTTAGCCTGGTTTGAGGATTTATTAGAGATAAGTTAGACGTTTTGCATTAAGGTAATGATCCTCTCTAACTCGTCGAAGATGTAGCAGAGGGCACAGTGAACAGGGACGCTTGCCTTCTATTCGGACAAGGCAAGCTCTAAAATAACTTTCATAGATGTAGCCATCTTGATTCTGCCTGCGATTTTGTTTTTTTCTGACTTGATAACCGAAACGTTGGAAACCTGGGTGTGAAGTCATTTTAAGCTCGGACTTCTGACTTCTGAGGTAACTCGAACGCAGCATTAATGTACAGAGATTTTATGGACTTAAACTGAAACTAAACTAGACTAGACTTAAACTAGACTGAAATACATAATTGTTTCATTGCTTAACACTTGATTAAATTTTTTTTTTTTTAATGGATAGAACATGACTGAATCTTAAAAGCATTTTGTCTAAAGTTGACTAAATTCAAATTATATATAAATTAATGCTAAAATTCACACTGTCACACGGTACAAAATTCAAACACTTCAAGAAGGACTGTACTTTTCATATTTTGCAGAAAAATGGAAAGAAAGAAAAACAAGGTAAGAGACTAGCTGCATGCCGAGTGGAGCATTAAGTGTCTGAAAAACCAGATGGTGGAGACCAAAACCAGAGCTAAAAGGGAGAGATTACTGAACATGATTTCACTAGTTTGACAGAAATTTTTAAAAACGTTAACTCAAAACTGCAGCTCATGCAAAACAGAGGCGTCAAGGATAGAGTTTCTTCTCCCAGGTTTCTAATCTTCTCTGGGGCCACTAAATGTGTAGGCGGTGTTGAACTTCAAAATGTTAAACCGTCTCGATACGTTCGCACAAATCCACAGAAAGTAATCCCAGGGGGCAACCCTGCAGGACACACGTCCACTCTGCTGTTCTGCATCTGTCAAAACACACACACTGCACACACACACACCTGCTGCAGGCTACGGCACAAACAAACAAGCACTTCCCTTCACGAGCTCAAGTGTAACCTTTGACCTTTGAACTGACAGCAGTTGCTTCCACAGGTCATAAACAGTTTGACATGATGAGTGTGTGGGTTAAATGTCAGAGTGTGAACGTGACAAAACTGCTGCTGAAGCACGTGGAAAAAAAAAAATCAGGAAACTTTAATAAAAAAACCAAACCAGGCTTTATTCAGTTTTCCAGATTCACAGGAACATTCTGTGGCCTAGTTACATAAAAAAATATCACTGAGCAAAGCCACAAATAACGTCAGAACGGTAAAAAGATCTCACCAAAGGTCTTACTGCAAACTCTTCCAGTAAGTGTGTTTTCATATTTGCACATTCACACTATTTACATACAGAAAAGATAGAGCAGGGAGGGTCAGGTGAGAACAAGCCGAGGAACTATTTTAATGTTGACTCAGAGCATCTCATACTGAAATCAAGACCTCAAATTTTCTGTTCTTCTAACGTGGTCAGGGTGAAGCAGATGTTGTTATCAGGCTGAAATGTTTCTGGTTATTCTCATTCAACCATTTAGACTGTTATTTGTTTGTCTTAAGACCTTTCTGTTGATTAATAAGGCAGAAAAACTTGATAATCTGCACCATACCATCAAGCACAAGGAGACATTAGTGTTATATTCAACTTTAAGTCACTCCTTATCCCACTTAAGCCATAATCGTTACAAGCTTTACTGCCGTCTTCAATTCCTGACTTCTGATTGGACTTACAGGAGTTGCACCATGAGACACTGGTTAGTATACACAAACCAGTTAAAATGTGGTGTGACATGTCTGATTGTTCTCACTACAAACCATCATCACCCTGGCCTAACAATGGAGAAAGGCAGACAAAAACTGAGGCATAAAACTGGGACACAATCAACTCTAAAATATGTCAATATGGCGATAACAGGGGGTGTTTTTACATTGTGTAGTGGACTTGTCAAACAGTGTTATCAGATGTACTCAAATACTGTTATCCTCCTAAAAAAGTAAAAGTTTCATACTAAAGTTGAGTTCATAGTGCAAATTTGAGCCCCGACTGTCAGCCTCCTTCCTGAATGTGAACCTGCTCTGCCAGAAAACGCTTCTGCCATCTGCCCTCTGTTTCTATACGCCTGTACATGTCTGACTGAGAGACAGAACATCAGTGTTTGTTTAGCCAAATTTACTGAGTGCTCAGACTGTGTGTCACACAAAGCAAACCCCCTGCCTGGCTGAGTTGTCACGGGTCCTAAAACCATTCACTTCCTGCCCCCTGCCTCAGCTCTCACTCTGGGATCTCCTGTCGAGTTTTAGTTGATCATTCTGCCTCTTTGCATGCTCCGCCTCTGTGCCCATGTCTGTATCTGAAATAAAAACCAAATGAGCTTGTTCTCCTGGTCCAACTGTAGCTGCAGGCTCTGCCTGACCTTCACTGACTCACGGCTGTGTCAAACTTTTGGGTGAGTGCCTTAAAGCTCCAACAGGTACAACGTGTCGAAGTTTGGACAAGCAAAACCTGGTTTTGAGGCGCTTCCTGAAACTATTTGATAATGTTTCCATTGTCTAAACACTGGCAGGCAAACTGTTCAACAAGTTTGTCACCTCACGTAAAAACTTCCCTGATGTTCCCCGTGAATTTAGGTCTATCACTGACAGAAAAGTGAAGAGTTCACCTTTCTGACTGAGGCTTGATCTTCTGTGCAGAGTTTTTGCTTTTCTTCAGTGTTTGAAATGTAGTTTGGCTGAAATGTCAAGTGAAGTGGTAGGAGGGCACCCGCTTAGTCACAGTCTGAAAATAAGCTGCAGTTCCTCTGAATTTTTGTCTGCAGTACCAGTGAAACTCCATCTGAACATCACCTCGGATTCACTTATTGGTTGAGAACACAAATATGATGGTATGCATACAGTTTAAAGCCTATTTTTGATTGAAATAGAACATAAAACAATTTAAATTTTATTGTTTTATTTAAAAGGTATGCTTATTTCAAGTTTAATTCCTGCAACATGTTTGAAAAAATTGGTACAAGGCTGACAAAACGCTAAAAGTCAGATTAGATATTTAAAAATAGGTTATACACTCTGCGAGAGCAAATAATTACAAGAGGGAGACTAAAGTCAAAATTTCAAGATTACGAAGTGTTGTAAATAATGTCAAAATTTCAAGATTAAAATATCGAAATTTCAAATTTTTTTGTTTCAGCTTTCTTAAATTTCGACTTTAATCTCAAAATGGAAATTAAAAAAATCTCTTTCCTATATTATTTTTTTCTCTCCTTGTGGCCTTAATCCTCTTTCATAAATAATTCAACAGTTTAATGTAGCGGCATAGAGTTTCATCATCTAGAGTATAATGTATTTTTAAAAGATAATCTAATAAAAATTCTCTACAAAACAGACAAGGCCAGAATCTTTAAACCTCAAGTGACAATGCATCAAAAATGCAGCACTTTGGCTACCCTTGTGGTTATTTTAAATGTGCTATAGAAATAAAGTTGATTGATTGATTGATTGATTGAAAAACTGATGTGACTCTGTAGTGGAGGTCACCGCATTGTCTCCAAAAATCCTTCCATTTAATCACTAAATGAAAGTTCAACTGCTCCACACAAAGAGGAAACCACATAAACATGATCCAGAAATGCTGCTGACTTCTCTGGACCCCAATCCAGATTATTTACATGATACCAGTTTGTGCTGTGTGTTTTATTTTTCTGAATTTTGCTGCAGCGAAACTGAAGTTGTTTTTTGTTTTTTGGGGCATATGTGCCAGGACAGCTGAAGAGAGCGGGCAAGTATGGGGAGTGGGGAATGACATACAGCCAGGAGTCAAGGGCGGGAGTCAAACCAACAACCACTGTGACAAGGACTAAAGGCACTGAGCATATTGAGCATGAGCCTAAAAAGTTTCTGCTTTACTCCAAACAAACCAGTCAGAAGAAACTCTGATCAAACTCATTTAAAGTCTGTCAACCGCCCCTTTCAAAACAGTGAATGTTCAACGGATGATCTGATATTTTAATACCTTTAAATATGAGTCGGCGTCTTATTTTGTTGAGAAACCTGCTCCACTAAACCCTCACAATCACACCTCGAAGACGACACAAGTTCCCACAGGTTCTGCTAACCCATCCGGTATGTTTCTGATCAGACGGGGTAATTATGTTCAGCATGCGGGTACAAGTTGAGTCATTGTTTATATCTGTTAAGAGATGAGTAATACCGGCGTGTGTGATGGAAACAAGATACTTTTAAAACTGGTATTGACTCGGCTTTAATGCACTTGATACGACACGAGGCAGACAGACCAGATGAATGTGTGAGAGTGGAGTTCAGATAGGGCCACTATTCAAACTCCTCCAAGTATAAAACTATAACCACCAAAATATACGGGAAAAACTCACACTAACGAACAGGCTCTGCTGCAAAACTGAGTTTTTCTGCTGCTTTTAAAATCTTATCTTCCAGTCTGAAGGAGGACGTGATGCAATAATCAAGATCTCAGCCGAGCAGGAGGCGAGCTCCAGCTGTTTGGTTTTTGGGAACTCAGATAACGTGAGCCAACAGATACTAAAATAACCGTCCGCAGAGCAAACTGAGGAGGTGGAGGAGGAGGAGGCAGGATGAAGATGACTGTGTGTATCTGTCAGTCCAGTCACACCCGCTGTGTCAGAGCGGAGTCGGTTTAATTCACACATGCTGAGCTGGCTCAAACAGAAACCAGGTTGAGGGTGTGTTAAGTCTGGTATGAAGCACAATAGTGACACAATGTGACCTGCATCCTGTTTTAGCCCCTCCCCCCTCCTCGTGACGCTGAGAGAACGTCTCTCCCTCTCGCTGACTCGCCGTTACGACAACATACTGACAGTTTAACGGCTGTTTGCAGCAAAGACGAGCCCAGGTAATGCTTCAGTCGGGTTACGTAACTCACAGATTCACACCTGAAACACACACCTGATAAAAAAGCTGCATCAACACTTTTTTTTTTAACAATGTTTGGGGATCCAGGGGAGCAGTTTAGAGGTGAAAATTCACCTTTTCTTGCCTGATAGAGGTTTTTAACTACTCTACAGTGTGGGGTCCTGAGTTTGGAGAGGTCACTGGTATCTCTGGATCATGTTTATGGTTTCTTTGTTGCACGGCACAGTTTTAACCTGTATTTGTAAATGCAGAACAAGTTGTGCTCACTGGGTGGTTTTCGGAAGTTATTTTAAGCCTGTGCAGGGACTCCCACTACAGAGTCATGTCTGTTTTGAATGCGGTGCCTCCTGACAGCTCAGAGATCACACCTTTTGCAAGTTATGAAGAAGAACATACAGTCAACCTCAAATTGTCACACTATTTGCTCACCCAGTCTCGCACAGAGTGGTGAACCTTGCATCCAAACTTTTTGGGAACTTTTAGATGCCAGTTCTTTGTGGTAGCCATGATCTTTTATGGTGTTTGTGTATTGTGTGGTTAAATACCGTACGTCAGGCCCGGTAGTAGTGAAGTCAACTGCTCACCTGGCGGCTTTTGTGGATGAATGGAGAGGGAATAAATGGGGAAGTCCTACTTTTTGCTGACCGCTTCTTTGCTTATGTTTCGCCTGATATTGAACGACTGTCCTTCTTTTGTTTTCATGTAAGTGCTTCATCTTTTTTGCATAATAAAACAACAAAAGGAGATACAGCCTGTTTTTTTAAGTTTATACAGCCAGCGCATCAGGCAAGGTATCGTTTTCCCTTACTCAGCCTCTCAGCAACTAAGTTGTTTTGGATAGTCGCCATACAAAACTGGACTAGTATCTGAAGTCTTGATAATCCACGATGAGCTGGATCATATTTAGAGATAATAAACTATAGAAGTCATCTCACATCTATTTTTCGTATGTTAAAGTCCATGTTTAAGCTACGCCTCCAAAAAATTTACCGATACTGATCCGTGTTTGTGATTTCAGCTTGATACCAGCTACTGTTTCTAAAGTCAGAAAACAAAGAGTCCAATTTTCTTGGTTATACGCCTGCTCTGCTGTGAGCTAACAACACTCTCTGATGGATGACGCTTTTAAGCCCGAGTTTAACAGCAAGTTTGCTCATAAGCAGCTTCTGATTTACATCCAGGCTGAGCGAGGTGAGCCGCCTGCTCTGCACAAGCTCGCTCGACCCAACAGACGGTAATTTATCAGCAGACCTTCGTATTCATAAAGTCAGAAAATAAAACACGTATGTGGTGACGACCTCAGAAACTCATATTCTTAAAATGCACGCAGCACTTCACCTGTTATTAACTGAAGTTCTCTGTTTGCAGAGCCGCAGAGGTCCGAAGGGCACTCCTCTCCGGAGACCCTCCCTCCCTCCCTACCCCCATGAGGCCCAGAGCTCCCAGGAGGCGAGGACAGCAGCAGGCATTGACTTGTGGATAGTGTGGGGGTAAAAAAAACTCCCCAAAGATGAGAAACTGCTCAATTGTGTGAGGAGGACTTTTGTTTCCGGAGCTGAAACGATCAGAAAATGGTTCAAGAACCGTTTAAGACGCTTTCCAGTAAGGGTGGGAGAAAAAAATCGATTCAAGTAAGTATCGCGGTTTTTGTTCAACATTTTTTGATCGATTTTTTTTTCAAAAATCTTTTTTTTTTTTTAATTTAAGAATAAATCTTAAAAACTGACTTACATATTATGTGTATTTTGGGGGGAAATATGGTTCCTGGAATAGTAAGTAGACAATCATAATCATTCAATTGTTTCACTGGTGTTAAAAATGTAGACCAAAAATCAAGAAAATCGACAATATTGTAGAACTGCAATTTAAATCAAATCAGCATCCAAAAAATCATAGAAGAACCGAATCAGGAGAAAAGCATACCGTCCCAGCCCTACTTTCCAGCCCACAGACTCTCAGCTACAAGTGTTATGTCCTATTAAACCTCAAATACTGACAAAATTACCTGTCACTTATTATTTTTACTTTTTATGGAAAAATCCAGAAAATAACAGAAAGTGACTAAATTCAAGCAGCCATGATGGTGTATTTGTTTGGTATTTAGAGCCAGCAGCAGCATCCTGAACAGAAACATCGAACTGAAGGAGGAGGACAGATGTAAACTTGTTACTCCCCTCCTCTATCCTCCTCATCCACCGCCTCTCCTCTCCTCCGTCAAGCTGAAGGTTAATGATGAAGGGATACAGCAGAGGAATACTGATCAGGGAGACACGGATGGATGTGGACGGAGTGCTAAACCACAGCGGGGAAGTCGTGGAGGGATCATCAGGTAGTTTTAATCTGAAGTCGGCGTGTCGTTCCCCATTCTCTCTCCTCATTTCCTGTTCTAGTCTCTGTCCTATCCTCTTCGATAAAGGGGGGCTCATGGAGGACGCTTTTGTACAGGGCTCATATTTTTGTGCAACAAAGCCTTCTTCATGAAGAGCCTCTGCGGTGGAAATGCAAGGACCAGGATTTAAAGTACCAAACCAAACTGGACCACATGGTGGAAACTAGGGCTGACTGATATGGCCTCAAATCAATATCAGAATATATTGAGCAGTTCACCTGGATAACAATAAACGGACGATAACTTCTCCACAAGCTGCTCACCCCCTCCCACATCAACTACCTAAACACATCCAAAACCAACTTTTATTTATTTGACACTGAATAAAACGATATGGGCAAAATGATGGTTATTGTCGTAAATTTCCCAACCTGTAAATTTTCGGTTTATCGCCCAGCCCTTGGGGAAACTCACCAATGGCTTTTTTCCCTTTAAAGTAACTGTCGACACAAAATAAAAATGAACTGTAAGTAAAACAAACACTGACATTTGGGTCAAACAGCTGAAAAAATGAGCTGAAACTGCTCGTTTATCTGTAGGTTTGATCATCTTTTTTCAAATTACGATCAATGATTTATGAAATATGGATTATGCAAGATAGCAGCTTTAAATCTCTGATACTGTTGGCACCGAAGTGCTAAAGTCAGCGTTCTTCGTCGAATTAAAGACGAGTTTAGCACATCAAAGCTCACTTTGTCTTATCTTCCACACACACTCGGCTGCAGAAAGCCTCAGGCCTCTTGTACACACTGATTACTGCCGGCTCGCTCTCTCATCTGCAATTTTATGAAGAATCAATGAGTCGTCACGCACCTATTGAATGATGCAAAGCTTTGTAAGTATGCGCAGAGTGAGCACACACACACACAAATACACACAAACACACACACACACTCACACTTCGCTTGGCCTTGTAGCATGTTGATCAGCATTAATGGTGTATGCACAGCACCTCCATATGCTTCTTCTGCTCACTGAGATCAATTTTTCTTGGAGCTGCAGGATTTCACAGAGACCGGTCATGGAGAAAAGCTGCCATGTTGAAAAATGGTTTCACGCCACAGTGACCAAACTGGGATGAAATGAGGGGACGGTCCAGTCAGGGCTAATGTTCACAGAGGCGAAGAATTTGAATCGGGTCAGTCGGAGTTTTTCTCTTGTTGCTGGTCGAAGTCTTGGAGTTCTGCCTAGGTATTTTCCAGGCTGGTGTCAGACACCACGAGGAATGTGGCGTGACTTTTTCAGTCCCGTTTCCACACAGGAAAAAGAAGCTCAAATGTTCCTTCTACGCGTTTATTATATACATTCGAGTCTTTTCAGGAGGAGTGGGATTTTATAGTATATGACAAACATTATTCTGTATTTTTCTATTTCTAAACAAACATCAACAAAAAGATCTCAAACTAAATCATCCTCTTCTTTACTCTCTTTGTGGCTCTGAGCTATAAAAGCCCTTTGGTCACTCCTGGGGATATAGATCTCTAAAAAAAGCTCCAAAACATGTATTTTTGTTTTCAAATAGGCTCTGAAGGGTCCATAAAGATCTTGTGGCACAATGTTTTAGTAAGCACAGCTATAAAAAGGTCGAAGCAAACAGTCCAAGTCTTAGGGATGGTTTTAAGCTGAAGGAGCAAAACGTGAAAATCCAGAGAAAGCAGAAATCTTTGGTTTTTCTCTTCATAAATCTGTGATGAATTTAGAGCATACCTGGAGATTTCTGATACGCTTTAGGTTTCAGTCGAACACTGAGCAGCATTTTCTTCATATACTGTACTTGCTTTAGGCTAATGGATTTATATCTAATGCTGTAGTGAGTGTTTTGGGGCAGCAGGACACAGACTCAGAAAATTCTTAATTGGCCTTTCTCGAAGATGTTTGAACAAAACTCCTGAAAACTTCCTGAAATTTTACAGTTTTACAGTTTGTGTGAACCCAACCTGCATTTCCACCTTAATTTAAGGTTTGGGGGTGAGCCTGGTTTCATTCCACCAATCAGTTCCAAAACAAAAAACTCTGCAGAGTTATGAGTTGGAGGCCTGGACGCCAAACACGAAGAAGAATCTTCTGTTGCTGCAATAAAAGCTCAACGCCTCAAAGTGGACTTAAATGAAGTTTTTGTTTCTTTTCTCTACACTTTGGTGTGTGATAATATGCCCCTAAACTCTCGTATTTGTGAGGGTTAAACAGTATGAAAATCCGGATACCACCAAACTCCAGACGGCAGGTAGAAGTTGCGATATTAACAATACATGGGGAGAAAAGCTGCATGATCTCAGAGCCCGGATGTTCAATTTCAGAGCCGAGCTGGTGAAGTTGTGAAGTTTCATCCAGACTTGGTCTCACACCAGAGATGACACAAGTCCACCACAGAGAGCTGCTGAGATTTCTCTGTGTGCTGACAGTTTGCCGAGCTGTTGCAGAACCAAACCCGCCAGTCTGAGCGCACAGAAACGGAGCGGAGAGCCTCTCCAACCTCACATGATGAAATGTGAGGAAAGCTGGTGGCCGAGCTGCCAGAATCCACAGGCTGCGGCAACAGCGGACACCAGCTCCGTCTGTGAGGAAACAGGACTGTGACAGACTTCAGGACTCAGTCTCAAATTCTGCACTTCAGTGAACAAAGTGACTGAAACAGTGACACAGACTCAGAGAGAATCAGCTCAGGGTTAGTTTGAGTTTAAAGACTGATGATTTTCTATCAGCTTTTTTGTCTTTAAAGAGTTTGAAATGTAGAGTGATCACAGTTTTGTCTTTTGACCGGACAACACTTCAAAATTACTAAACTTTTTATCTACCATCTTAAACATGAAGGGAACAGCAAAGCCAGGAATCTAAATGCTGATAACTTTTAACATTTCTGCTAGAAAAACTTCGAAGAAGTTTAAAAGAGTCCTCAAAGTTTTTTACCAAAGAGGATTAGGGCCACAAGAAGAAAAAAATAATAATTGCAGGAAGGAGATTTTTTTAATTTCCATTTCAAGATTAAAGTCGAAATTTGAAAAAGTTGAAATTTTGACTTAAATTATGTCGACTTTAATCTAAAAATTTCATGAATTTCGACATCATTCAAGACAATATAATATCGAAATTTCAACTATAATGTCGAAATTTCCTATTTTTAATTTCAAAATGTTGACTCTATTGACATAATTTAGATTTTTTTCATCTCTAAGTTTCGACTTTAATATCTAAATTTGGACTTTAATCTTGAAATTTTAGACTTCAATCTCTAAATTTCAACTTTAATGTCGATATTTCAACTTAAATCTCAAAATTTCGACTTCAATCTCGAAATTTTTGTTCAATCTCTACATTTTGACTTTAATCTCCTTCCTGTAATTATTTCTTTTCTCTTCATGTTGCCCTAATCCTCTTTCGTAGTTCCTTCATAGTTTTGATTGTGTCAGACTTTATGTTTTCTTCTTCTGTTTATCATACAAATGCTGACCAGGTAAGCAAATCAGCACCATACATGACAGCAGCATTAAGGTCTCTCTGACCTTTGACCCCTCATAGTCAATAGAGACACGTTAGTGAGAGACCAGGTCATCTGAGGACTCTGTAGGTATAGACTTGACCTTCTTGTTTAGTTCAAGCAGCTTAAACGTGACCTCGTGACTGCAGGTATCAACAAACACATGACAGTATAATGAGATGTTTACCTTCCACATATAGATGCTGCATGTATGTATGTGTGTGTGTGTGTGTGTGTGTGTGTGTGTGTGTCCTCACTGAGGGAAAGTATAACTCTGAACATATGTTTAGTTTACCTCCACCACTTTGAAGCTATTTTGATGAAGCAGGTGGAGAACCTGAGTCTAAAATAAGCAGCTCAGTGAGCACATAAACACAGCAGCCTATACTTTAACATGCCACCAAAACCCGTACTTCATCCTGAACCTGCAGGTCCACGTCATGGTAAACCTTCAGTCACCTGTGGAGAGGCTCTGTACGGTGACATTTCAGGGTCACGGTCAGTAAAGTGTTTGTTTTGGAAGAGTGTATGGATAAAGAGTTAGTCTTCTTCAGGATAAGTCATGGTTATTTATTCCTCTGAACCTACAGGTGGAAAACCCTGAAGCTGAACAAGACTGAACGTGAACAAAACAAGACAAAGGCGATAAAATAAGAGAAACTATAAAGAGAAAGTTGTGGACAAAAGAACAAACTGAGCTAAGCTAATGTTCAAGTTTAATTAGCTCCAATCATCACACTTGTGTCTCCTGCAATAGGCAGACACCATAGCGCTGATAACAAACTGTTGCCGTGGAAACAGGTTTAATTAAGAATAGTGAACATCTGAACAGTGTCTGCCTGATAAACCTGTTATCATCAGCAAAGAGAGAGATTTCATTTCCATCATCCATCCATTTTAGCTTTCCATCTATCATCCATCCTGTCTTTATTTTCAAACTTTATGCCCAATCATCCATCCATCTGTCATCCATCCATCTTTCATCCAACCATCTATCTGTCCATTCAACATACACCAATCCATCTATCCATGCAATATCCATCCATTCATCAACTATCCATCTAGTCTTCATTTTCAAACAAGTCTCTCAAATCCATCCAGTCCATCCATCCATATTGTCCATACATCCATCCTATCTATCTATCTATCCATCCACCCATCCATCTTGTCCATCCATCAATCCTATCCATCCAGTCTATACATCCATCCTATCCATTCATCTTGTCCATACATCCATCCTATCCATCTATCCATCCCTCCATCTCATCTATCCATTTATCATCCATCTATCCATTCATCCACACATCCACCTTGTCCATCCATCCATCCATTTATCATTAATCATATTTCTGTCAATTCATCCATCAACCCATCAGTCATTTTATTTTCATCCATCCATTCATCAACTTATCCATATCCATTAATCATCTTGCTGTCTACCTATGCAATTTTCTACAATCCAATCATTTATTCATCAATACATCCATCCATCCTCCCACCGCTAAATCATCCATTCATCCATCTGTGTAACCATCTTTCCTTTTATCCCTCCATCCATCTATTCTCCATTTATTGGTCCATAAGTTACAAATCTGTCCGTTGATTTATCATTTCATCTGCCAGCTTTTAAATCAGCCCTCCATCCATCCATCCATCCATCCATCCCTTCTAAACTGTTTATTTATAAATCTATCTATACACCCATCTGTCAACAGTCTTTCCATCTATGGACTTTTTTTCATCTTTCACTTCAATCATCCGTCCATCAGTCCCTCCATCTGTTAACTTTTCATCCAGTTATCCACAACTCTTTATCTATCTATTCAATAATCTTTCTTCCATCAATCACCTCTTTTCATCAGTCACTCTACTTCTTGTTGTTTTTATTTTTCTTATGGTAAATCTGTTAAAACTCCATCATCGCTCTTTGCTTTCGTCCTCCCTCTAAAGTGAACTTTATGACTCTATACCAACAGAAACAAAAACATTAAAACCAGATAAACAGGAACAGAGTTTGCTTTCTTTGTTTTCACGGTATAGTATAGTTTATATAGTATGTTATACTCAATAAAATATCAACAAACAGCTTGTAAACAGCAGTTCTCCTTAATCAAACTGAAACCTGCTTTCTCCTGCAAAATATTTACTGAAACAAGCAACGAGTCGACATCATACACCAAAACAATCAACAAACAAGTTAGTGAGAGGCTAATGAGACAATAAATACACCAACAACTTCCAAAACAAACACTTTACTGACCGTGACCCTGAAATGTCACCGTACAGAGCCTCTCCACAGGTGACTGAAGGTTTACCATGATGTGGACCTGCAGGTTCAGGATGAAAATCAAGTTTCTAACATGTAAACATGTTGAGAGTGGTGTAACAGGATGTGATGTTGCTTTTACAAGTGGTAACTGTGCTCAGGTCTGCTCAAAAGCCTCATATTGACCCTGGACTTTCACAGAAAATAGAACCCCAGGCACTAAAATATAGCTTTAAGGAACAACCTGACTTGTTGCTGTTAGTCTGGTTTTATTATGCAGGTCATGAAGAGTGAAACTATTTCAGAGTCAGTTCAAAACTCCTCACAGTGATTTTAACATTCAACATCACACCTTCAACTTCACTTTGCCTCCTGTTTCATCAAATTTCAGTGTTTTTCTGCATGTGTTTTTAATATTGATCCCATTTGAGTTTTAAAAACCTGCAGTTTTTACTCTTTCTTTATGCATGAAGCAGAAAAAAAGTCTTTAAATTTAATGTGCTGGGGTGGTGAATTTGACTTTCCTTTTTCTAATTAGAAACCTAATGAAATGTTTAAGGCAATTACGTGACTCCTTGCAAAGATAGCAACAGTTAATGAGTAGTTATTAAGAAGTTGTCACTGTGCTGGTGCTGCAGTTTGAGCTGCTTCTGCAACGACCTACATTTGCATTTTGTTTCTGTTACTTTAACGAGCTGGTCAATTTTGGGACTTGTCTTGATTTTGGATCAGTTTAAAGATTAGGCTTCCCAAACTCAAAAACTTTTAAAGTTATATATCTTATTCAATGCTCGAGAAGAAAAGCAGAATTTTTCCAAATTCTGAGGAGCTGAGACGGTCAAACTGTGACTTCTTTGGCTTCAGAAAGAGTGCAAACATGTGATTGCTTCTCCAAACCCTCGATTTATCTGCTAATCTATCACCTCTGGACACGACTCTTGGTGTTTGATATTAAACTGCCAATAGCTCGGAGTGTACTTGGAGTGCACTTTAGTTATTTCTTTGTCTTTCACCTTGCAGCTCAATATCATCCCAACAAATATGAAATCTGCTGAAGTGAGGGAATAAAGCAGCCCTGAAGTCTAAACTGAAGAAGCTGCTGCAGTATTTACCCTCGCAGGACAGAAAAAAATGGCTTCCTTTATCTTTGCGCTGATTAACAGTGAGGGTTTGTTGTGGAGTGAGGAGGAGGGGGTCCACTCTCAGAAAATGTGTGCCAATTCATTTCCTCAAGGTCTGCTGCAAGAAAAAACCCTCCCTCCTCTGGTACAGCCCACACATGAGGAGATTACATCTTTTATTTATCACTTCTTGGCTCTATTTTTCCAGCAAATTCCAGGCTGGGGTGCAATCAGCCAAGAAAGAAACCCTCCCTCTGTGTGTGTGTGTGTGTGTGTGTGTGTGTGTGTGTGTGTGTGTTGGTGTTATTCCTCTTTGTAAGCATGCAGATCCAGCCCCCCTCTGCTCACTGGCATAACAACGCAGATCCAGTTCCTCCCCCTACAGAAACATTTCTCAATATCTGGGAAAATATATAGGGCTCTTATTTTGGCAGGACGGAGCCTGGTGTGTGTTGTGGGATGTGTATTCCCCGTGGCCCCCTCACAAAGCCCACTCCTGCATTTTAAAAGTGGGGGGCGGGCCCTGCAGAAACTTAAGTGTTCAGATTGTATTACTATTCAAATGAAGCATGCAGAGTAATGGGATTACAGCGCCGTGAGGAGGTGGACTCACAGGTGACAGACACCATCAAAGACTCCCAACGTGAGACGGCAAAGTGAGCTATCTCCAATGTTTCTGCGATTACACAAAACAGGAGCTGAATCCTGAACCGATTGGCTGTGGTTTGGTGTGAATCATGGGTCCATTTAAGAAGAATACGCTTCCTCCTTCCAAATCTCCTCCACTTAACAAGGGAGTGAAAAGACGCTTTTGTTTGCCTTCTCTTTTCGGAGGAGAGGGGAAGCTTGAAAGGCACAAATGAACATGAAAATAGGAACAAAGTGCCAAACTCACAGTAGGAATGCAGGGGATTTCATGAGAGCTGCTCCGGTAATTAAATCATGAGAGAAACGGTGAAACAACAACAACTTAAAAAATGACATAAAACCAAATGTTTTGTCACAGGAGAAAAGTTGTCATGCGCTAGCAGTTGTCAGCTCAGCAAGCACATGTGTTTGTTCCTCTTTCACTTCGAGAAAAAGCTCTTTATCACTTTCAAACACCCAAGAAACAACCCGATATTCACAACATGTGAGTACAAAACAGCAAGAATAAAGTTTAACTAGGTATTTGACTGCTTTTTCACTCCTTGCCAGGATGAATCTGCAGCCAGGAAAAGACACAACGTGAGCGAGGCATCGATCGATATTCAATTTCATTTCATCTTTGGCCTACTGTGATTGTGCAAATAAGCTAATTGACTTTAAACACACTGTAACGCACTGTAAAGCACACCTTCCCTTCCTAAACAGCTGAGCATGAAGAATAAAATGCACCAAGATTGATGTGCCACAAAGTTTGGGAGTGCAAAAAGGAGCATGAGGATAAAAATGAACATCATGCAACAAAAAGGGGAAATTATTTACTGGATATTTTTATATTTAGCCAATTTTTTAAAAAGTCTTTAGGAGGTTTATGTGTTAAAAGTATGAATAGAGTCATTATGTGTCATTCTGTGAATAATCAGGTTTAATAATCATGGTCTAAACATTACTAAAAACAATCCTGAGTGTAATGGTAAGTAAACATAAGTAAAATGGAGCAGCCGTAACTCGTATCATAAATTGTGACATACAGAACAACTCATTCAAATGCAATGCATGGCGGTTGAAACCCAACCCAACGCTCTTTGAGCACTTCCCTTATTACTCAATACTTTTATGTAAGCATTTAAAACTGATTTTCAAATGGTCAGGCATGTGAGATATAGTTTAAAATGATCACATTGAGGACATAAATGAGTGTAAACGCCCCCCAGTCTTTTTTTAATCCATATCACTTTCTTTGATTTAATCTTTACAGTGGATAAGGGACAAATATAGTAGGTTAAGTGCTTTTTTATGACCCCGAACCAGCACAAATATGTGGTAATGTTACAGAATTCCCTCACACAAGCAGGAGTTTGTAAGTACTCTTATTTCAATAAGTTTTTGAATGGGGTTTGGTGCTGTTGTTGTGGGAAATGAGGGGATTCCTCTTTTGTTAGTGGCACAGCTTCATTTTCAACTCAATTACGGGATTTTTCCCCTCTTTATGCCTTGTGTTTCACATTCAAACTACCCCCGAGCAAAACGGGATTTAAATGCCCCCAGTCACACATTTCCATTCATGCACACACAGATTTAAAGCCCCATTGTAGGCGCTGCTCTGCCGCCTGACCGCTTCCCCCTTTGTTGTCAACCCCTGTCACTTTAAATACTAATATGTTCTGACTTATTCACATGGAGAATAGTCAGCGGAGGTCTTGTCTCTGTGTTTCGGCTGTTGAATTTCAGAGATAGGACGTGTTTGGGCTATTTTTCCCCTGTATTTCCGTCATATCACTCACCGACTTGCAGTACGTTGTCCACGCAGCCGCTCTCCAGCAGAGCGATGCCTCTCCGGAACGGCAGCCGCGTCTCGTCGCTGCTGTCCCCGCTACTTCCAATCTCCTCCCCGCCGCCGGTGTTGAACGACGAGTACATACAGATCTCCCGCTCGCTCCTCGGAAAAGACCAGTACACGATCCTCCTCTGGACGGGTTCCGGGATCCGCTCGAAACGCTCCTCCACCCTCTGAAACGGCCACTTCTCCGCGACTTTCCTCGCCGCGATGTCCAGCAAAGACTCCGGGTTTTGGGTTTTGCTCGACTCGGTGGAAGCCGAGGCACCGCACGGCGCCCCCGCGGCCCGCTGGCCTTGCCTACATGTTGAATTGTATCCCGGTCGACAGCAGAGCCGCTTGGCCGGGGGCTGCTGTACGCGCTCCGCCATGATAGCACCGCTTAGACGGCAACGGAGGAAGTCAACGAACCATATGAACGGGACGGGGAAGGGAAAAGGTTACCCACAGTGTGATTGTTGGACGGGTATGGCCAAATCTGCCTTTTATGGAAACATGGGGGCGGGGCTTATCCGGGCTTGTCAAACCCCTTTGTTGACAAATTAAGAGAGGCGGGGTATGTCCGGTAGTGACGGGAATTCCGAGCCTTTTCGGTGAGTCAGAACTTTTGGCATAGCTAAGCAAAATGAGTGAAATGAGTCAGCTTTTACTTCTGCAAAAAGCTCATTGGCTGTTATATTTATCAGCCATTATAAGAATAGGACATATCAAAACAAAAATTTACAATCTGCTGATCTGTGAACTCATATGAGCTGGGATTACCGTCAACTCGGTCTTTTGAGGGTTGACCTAGAAATTATGACTTGCCTGAAATAGCACTATCCTCAGTGTTTTAAGAACAATAAACACACCACAACATGATATGGCAAAAAAAAAAAAAAAAAAAAAAAAAAAAAAAAAAAAAAAAAAGGCAAGGAATAAAAATCAATGTATGGGGTCACTATTCATATGATTTCGTCGTCGTTTTCTTCCACTTATCCGGGTCTTATTTTTTAAGTAGGATGGTAGGGGAAGGTCCTGCCCTCCTTCACCTCTAATTGGCTAGAAGTGCTGGGCTCCAATTGATTATTCCTAATGGCTGTAAAACGTCATCGTCTGTCAGGTTTGGGTTAGGGTTAGGATTAGGATGATGGTAAGGGTTGGGTTAGGAGATTCGGAAGTGCAATTATGTTCTGTAATGTTCTGTTCGATGTACAGAGCCGACAGCCTGCGTTTGGCTTAAGCGTGTGATGACGTTTCCAGCTTTTCTAGTCAATCAGAGGCGAAGGAGGCGGTACTTTCCCCTACCATCCTACAAACAAAAATCATGTACAGGTCGCGGGGCAGCAGCTTCAGGAAGGAAGCCCAGATATTAATATGATTTGAATTCTTGAAACAATGTGATATTAGAATAACATTACTTAAATTGAGTCCAATTATACTGCTTAAGATAAGATGTTCCTTTATTAGTTTCACAGGGGGAAATTTCAAAATTACAACAGCATAGCACAGATAAAAAAAGAGAAAAATTAAAAGATAAAGAAGCTTTGAGTTAAAAAAAACAATTTGCCTTTCCAGAAATGCTTGTTTTTTTATTTTATTTTCCTGTTATGTCAGCATGTTAATATCAATAAGCTATTCAAAACTGTTCGTGTTAAAATCAACATGTTAAGTTGCCTACTTATTAAGTTATCATCTCTTAATAACTACCACCTGTGATTCGTCATAATTAAACAAAAAGAGAATGAAGCCAGAAGAGGAGAAATCCTGATCGTTTGAATTGTAAGGAGTTGGTCCAAAAAGTCGACTCGTTCTTGGTTTGCACATCACTATCTCTCAGCTAAAACAGGACTGAAGGGCGGAATTCCCGCATGGCAGCTATTTAATCCTTTTGTTTGACTCATTTGAAGCTGAAAGAAACGCCTCGAGAGAGAGAGGGAGAAAAAAACGGTTGAAAAACGACTGTCTCTCATTTTAAAGTGATGGGGTTTAAAAACGGAGGAGAAAGGGCGATGAGAAGATCTGCTTTGTCTGCTGCTAGAGTAGAAAAGCCGGAAGACTATGGGCGGTGATTGGCCTGTCAACACCGGAGCCTCGTGGTATGGGGGGAGGGGGCAGTGATCGTAGCACCGCCCCCTGTGACGTTTAAAGGTCCGCTGGAATGTGGGTCCTTTTAAAGAAAACACAACTCATAATGGAAAATGTAGTACCGCATGGTAACTCAACCTCTGCTCTACCGAGAAAAGCTTCAGTGTGGCTAAAAATGTGGGTCGTATCTCTAAAAGTAAAAAGTTATTTTTAAAAGAAAATAACATAATAGACAATCTTTGAAAACATAATCACATCTAAAGAAAAAGAGATGATTACAGGGCTTGACACTAACTTTTTTTGCAAGGGGCACATGTGCTCCTAAGTTGAAAAAGTAAAGAGCACACAAAGTACTTTAGAGGCACAATAAAAATGGATCAAATAATGTTTGTCTTATTGGTCTTCCAAATACTATTATTTGAAATCAATTTTAGGTCTTTTGGAAGCTATTACAGAAAATGTTCGAAATTTGGTCTTAGATTTAACCCCAAAATTTTTGGAGGACAAATTTGAAAAAAAAAAAAAAGAGGTGTGTCTTATTGTCTGTCCTTAGCACTATTATATGAAATCAATTTTAGGTCGATTGGTCACGTGGTATGGAAGCTATCGAAGGAAAACCGACTTTTTTTGAGGAACATCAACGGGTAATTTATTGACTTTCCCTTATTCAAGACCCTAGTTGGCGGCGAGGGTGCCTAGTAGGTTTAATCGCCCTGCTATTGCCGTTCCCGGTTATGGAGAGTGAAGAGACTCTGGTAGATCCGCAGTGAATGTCCATCGAATATCCAACCTAAAACTAAACTCTCTGCGGTATTTACATGAAAAACATTTTAAGATTCGCACACATCTATTTTTTGTCGCAAATGCGAGAGAAACGGTCGCACTGTTGAGCCCTGGATTATGTTTCCTATGTCTTTACTCTTGGCAGTGTTTTGAGCTGTTTTTTGAAACTGACTGAAATCAATACTGATGCCTTTATATGACAAATGAAAGCAAACAAAACCACCAGCCTACCTATGGATTATTTGACACTGTTTCTTAATGTCTGATGATTAATGAAGGGGTTGGTGTCAAAAGTATCAACAGCACTCTACAGAGACACAATTTTTCTCATATTTGACAGACAGCAGGGTGAGATTTTTGTCTGAAAATGCTGTTCACACAGGTACATGTCAAAATTAGCAAAGGAATAAGATGTAGGGGCACTAAAGTCAGCATAACCTCAAAGATGCTTCAGTTACATGTACCACAAGTTGGTTTAGAAGTTCACTGCAGCTTCTTTGCTGTTAGAGACAAGGTTGGTGAGACTGAATCAAACAGCAAATGCGGCCGAGGAAGCTTAAAAACTGTGACGATCCTCTGTGGGCACTTTATCTTTATCCAAAAGTTGTCTTTTTCAGTGTTAATTCCAGAAATATTGATTAATTGAGTTAATCTGGTCTCATCGGTGTCTTGGAGCCTCAGGGTGCGCTAAATTGAAAACGTGGAATAGACAGTTGAACTGAAAAGTATCCTGAAGAGTGAGTGAGGTGTGGTTTAGTTCAAAGAGAGCAAGGAGATATGAGCAAATGGTCCAAAAGTGCAGAGAGTCACACCCAGGTCTGTTTTAATACAAGGAATCGTGTTGTTTCTTTGAATAGTGCTTCTCAAATGAGGTACTGAGACACTTGTGGGTACTTTGGAGAACTGAAGGGGGTATCTAAGATAAATATTTAATATATTATAAAGATATCTCTCTATATATTTCCCGACCCTTTAAGCTGTCCTGTCAAAATAAAGGCCACAACTATTTATACTGGTTATTCAATGACTGATAAGCTGGGATCAGCCTTACAACCCCAAAAAGGATGATTGTTATAGGATAATGTTTTTTTTTTTGGAAAATATCTAACACTTCGTGTTGTTTATGCAACTCAGTGTAGTTACATCAGGGTTATTTATGACAATTATGTTAAGAAGTAAACCAATTTGACCTCATCCTGTGTGTTGAAGACGTTTTAATGATGATTAAATGATAAATTTGACTGTCAGAAGTCAGCACCACTGGATTTTTTTTGTCAGGAGATGTTTCTTAAGGTCCTTACACACCAGGAACGACACAAATATATACGACGCAAAATTACAAAATATTCAGGGGGCGAATTTTGACATGCCTAACTATACACATCAAGTGAAATGAGATTTTGCGACTTTCGGGGGGGGGGGGGAGGCGTCGCGGTTGGAAGCGAGAAGACTGACACAACAGCAGACTGACTGTTTTTCAGTTCTGATTAGACACTAGTGTTGAGATGTCTGTCTGTCATGATAGCATGTACTGAGTCGGGGTCAGTAGCAGATAAGCACATGAAACTATAATCCATAAACGTAAAGTAACAACCGAGACCTAAGGGTGCTGTGACAGCAACACGATTGAGTTTGAGACAGTGAAAATACATATGGTATGTTGTATCTGAACAGGTTAGCTTACGAGCTAAAGTTACTTAGCACAGATGAAAGTTAAAACAAAGACGTTTAGCAAACTGTTAAAGCAAACAAACTATCCTTCAGGTCATTATCTTTGTAATGTTTGTGTTTTTTATCAAAAAGCACTCTGTTCTCCGACACGTAAACAATCAGACGGTCAACCATGTTGGATATACCGGTGAATCTGACGTTGCAACAACACGCAATCTAATTGGTCAGAAGTGGACACACAGTATGCGAAAATTTAGAAAAGTCGACCGTGATCCGAAAAAATAAATGCCGCAATATCGCAGGACGGGAAAACGTCGCTTATGTGAACGCTTGTATTGACCAGGATACGGGTTGGGAAAAAAAATATTGACACCTGAAAAAAAAATGCTTCCGGTATGAAAGGACCTTAAGAACGAAACAAATCTGACCTCATCATGTGTGTTGCAAAACTTTTAATGATGACTGAATGATAAATTTGACTATCAGAAGTCAGCACCTGTGGATTTTGGTCCGCAGATGCTTCTCGTAACTGGCTCATAACTGACAAGATAAGCAAAGACTGCTTTATCCAAAACTGACACAAATCAAAAGTTCCTCACAGGAGCTTTAACCTAAACTTTTTCTAGCATAAATAAATAAATAAATATCATGTGCAGGTTAAGGAATACTTTGCTAAAAAGCATTGATAAGTGATTTATTATTGGAAAAAGTTTAAAACTTTAAGTTGGAAAGCACTCATTGCTGTATACATTTCAATTTCTTCCACGATCCCATTGACTCAAATATGTCTATTTGAGACACTCTGGTTCTCTGTTATTCCCAGCAGTCTCAGCTGAAGATGTTTGATACCTCCTCTGATCATCACCTGGGGATCGTTTCAGTCAGGATTTGAAGC